ATTCATAAATTCAACATAAGTAGGACATAGTATAGCATCTAAATTACACACACACACACACACACACACACACACACACACACACACACACACACACACACACACACACACACACACACACACACACACACACACACACACACATACATACATACATACATACACTTAAGAAACTTTAATAAAAAAATTATCAATTATTAAAATATCATAGAAGTTATTATTGATATAAAGTTATTTTATAACTTATATATAAATAAAATTGATAAAAATAATCAATAGTTATTTTTTCCATTGTTAATATTTTAAATGTCATCAAGTGCAATTTGAAAATAAAAATTGTTGTCGCTAATTGATATTGTTTGCTAATTACACAAATAAAAACATATTGTATTTAAATAAAATTGTTATAAAACTAGACAACAAATTGCTAAAATTTTTTTTATTGATATATAACTTGTTATCTTAAATCAAAACAAAAATACATTTAAATCTGTCAAATAATTAAAAATTTTATTAATTTTAAATAATTTATGTTTTTATAATTTATTGACTATTGATTATTTACAATTTGTATAATATTACATGTACAAAATATATTTTTAGTTTATTTATATTATACAGTATAATTTAATTATTTATAAACTATAAAATTATACAGTATTATACAGTATAACTAAATTAAGCAAAATTGATACTACTTATTATAATATGATAATAAACACTAAAAAATATTTAACAAACATTTATTTATATATATATATATTTTTTGGTGATAATAGAAAAATACCAAAAAATTTATTTGCATAATAAAAATTAAATCATAGTATCAACAAAAAAAACTAACGGTAAATTAAATTAACATAAAATTTAAATTAAATACAATATATAACAAAAAACAGTTTATTAGTGCAAATATTAATATAAATAAATATTAAATAAATACAATAAACATATAGTGCAAACTATATTGATTATTATTATTATTATTATACAGTACTGTAATAAAATTTTTTTGTATACATTAGCATGTATTATACTGTATAATTTATACATATGATAATAAAAATAATAATATTAAACAAGGTAATATTTATAATATTTTATAACATAATAAAAAAAATGTCAGCTAGCAAAAATATCATCTACTTAACAATATGGACAGTATGTATGGGCTCATGTATGTTCAGCATCTATCGTGTATCGCACCTGTATCTACAGTACAACACCACAACGTTTGTCAAACACGACAAAATGTTACGTATATTGTTGCCGGCGGTAACCATATGTTTGCCCAAATCGGAGCTAATACGGGACGGCTATCTGACCGCCGCCGGTGGTATCGGCAATGACTCGGCTAAAGCTGACCAGCTATTAGCTAACCGATCGATTCGKGAACAGTTTGCTATGTTGTACAATGAAACGGATATATTCAGTTACTGTGCTGTACTGAAACCGGTAGCTTTCAAGCACCTGGTGTTTTCTGAGACATCATCGGCAGCCCATAATACACACATCCAATGTTCAACAATTAGTCCGATTAGACGATCCATTGATCATAAAAGGTAAGCAATTTTTGTTTGTATACAAAAAAAATTGTATTACATTATAATTATTGTATTTTTTYTAAATAAATTGATTAATACTTGTATAACATGTATATATACTGTATATTATGTAACTGAAAACTACATGTAATAGTAATATAACACTTAAAATTTTTTTTACTATTTAATACTATTTTTTATTATATTTATCAATATATATTGTTTTTAAATGATATATTTTAAAAAAAAATATTATATGTTTAAAAAAATTTTAAACTCTAAGATTTAGATATTAATTGATATTTTTAATAACTTATAATATTTATGTATACAATATAGAAAAACATTGTAACCGACAAAAAAAATTATAAGTTTAATTTTTAAGCCTTTATTATATTTATAATAAACAAATACCAAAAGTTAAATATTTTAAGTATTATAATAATAATATTTTAATTTAATTTTGAATAAAAAAAAACTATAATAACAAATTATTTTTTATTTATTTATTTACAAACTGTAACTAAGTGAGCTATCAAAACTTTATTATTTTTAAATTTAAATTATTAATACATTAATAAAGCATACATTTATTTGGGGTTTATTTAATTTTTAACTTAAATGTTTTACTTAAAAAAAACAAAACAATAATATATTAATGAACCAAGTTAACTTTTTGTTCAATAAATATAAATATATATATAYATATATATAGTTTGTAAATAAATTTTAAAAAATCAATAATAATTTGTTATTATATTTTTTATTAAAAAATTAATTAAAAAATTACTATTACTATAATACATATAAATATTTAATTATTTGCTATTATTGATTATAATATATATATATAATTATTCTAATATATATATATATATATATATATATATATAGATTATTATCATTCATATAATCTATGATACTATGGGAACTGTTACTATAAAAAAAATAATAATAATTAATTAGTTTTTTGTTTTGTTAACTTATAGACTATGTTTTACACTACTGTCCCAAACTGATGGCCAACCGGACGATAGATATCTCGTTGAAAATCAGTTTGCATTCAAAGATTTTTTACACCATTTAGTGCTAATTATTTTCGCCCGACACGTGTCCTATGTGTACGTAGCAGTTCACGCGCGCAACGAAATTTTGCGCAGTTTTTATAGGGAAAATTTCGTGAAAATTCAGCCCCGACTGGTCAGGGATGGTAAGGGATCGGTAACCTATTTGGTTGACAATCTATACTATACCCGTACTATTATCAAATCGATGCCCGTTCCCTATGAAACACGCTGTCTAGACTATAGGTAATTTAAATATAATTAAAATTGTTACAAAATAAATAAATAAATAATATTTAATTTAACAATTTAACTAGCTAACTATATTAGCTAGATAAAATTTATTAATTATTATTTTTTGGTGACATATAATTTATATATATATATATTATTAATCCTTTTTAAAATTTGTTTACTTTTTAGAAAAAAAATTAAATAAATTATAATATCTAATTTAACAATTTAACTAGCTATTTGATTAGCTAGATAAAATTTAGTAATTTTTTTTTTGGTGACTTATAATATATATATATATATATATTATTAATCCTTTTAAAATTTAATGATTTAATATTTATATTTTTAAAAAATATAAAATAATATTTAATTTAATAATTTAACTAGCTATTTAATTAGCTAGATAAAATTTAGTAATTTTTATTTTTTGGCGACATATAATAATATATATATATATATTTATATATTTTATTAATTATTTTAAAATTAARTGCTTTAATATTTGTATTTTTAAATAATAAATATATTTTATTTATTTTTTAAATATATAATAATATTTAATTTAACAATTTAACTAGCTAACTATATTAGCTAGATAAAATTTAGTAATTTTTAATTTTTTTTTGGTGACATATAATAATATATATTTATATATATTTTTTATTATTATTAAACAAATTTTAGCAAGCTAAATTATCGATCACGCGATGATTGTATCGATAATTGTCGACTTAAACTAATATCACAGAAAGTGTCGGCACATGAATGGCCGTCCATTTATTTGTCGGACGATTACGAATCGGATCATCAGATGACTGACAAACATAACAATAACTTGGAATTGGATCAATCGATTGGCCAGTCGTGTAAAAATATGTGCGGCGGTATTCATACGGAATGCTATTCGGAAATCTATGGCCTAAACGTACGGCGAATGGACAGACCGTTGCCCGAGTATGTTATGGGACTGTATTGTCCGCAGATACCCGACCTTATCTATACACATACGGCATCGGTAGAGTTTGAGGAGTTTCTATCGTATTTGGGTAGTGTATTGAGCATACATTTTGGTGTATCCTGTATTATGTTGGCAAACCTGGTCCACCTGGTTCACAAATACCTGTCCAATCAGTGGACCGTCAGATTTAGGTGTCGTAATGTTAGTATACACGTTGAACGTGATTTAACGGTTAATACTATGCCTAGTAATAGTCAGCAGCGGCGGCGTAAACGGCCAGTCATTAATTTTCCGATGTCTGTGCCCGATATGACAGGTGCTGGTAGTGGTGGTGTAGGAAAACACCATTTATTGGCACCGATAGACACATAAATCTATACGTATTTTTGTTTGTTTGTTTGCAAAATTTTGAACAAATATTTAAATAATACTACAGATATTTATATTACATGTATATTATATTAAGTAATTAATATTAAATTAAAAGCTTTTATAAATTATTAAATTTTTTTTTATACATAAGTTATTGTTTTTATTTTAAATATTTGCAAAAATATTAATTATATATTATAACAACTAATTGATATTAAATATAAACATAACTGTATATCCATTAAAATTGAAATTAAATAATATATTGTAACATATATTCTATACTTTTTATTGAAAGTACATTAATATTAAAATAATATTTATATATTCATAATAATATTAAACTTATTTTAAGATAAACAATTAAATGAATTTAAAATTGAAATATTAATGAATATACTAATAAAATATAGCAGTATTTAAAAAGTTTTTTTTGTTTAATTATCATTGAATTTTAATAAATTTTAAAATACATATTTTTTAGCACATATTTTTTATAATTAAATTATATTAATTTTTATGTCAAAAGTTATAATTATAATTATTTTGTTTAATTAATAAAAAAAAACACAACAACACTATACATTAAACCATATCATAAATTACAGTATAATTTTAAAATATTGTTTATAATAATAATTATTATTATTGAATAATAAATTAACAAATAATAAATTAAAATAAATAAATAAAATACATAACTATTTCTATCTACTACTACTACTACTACAACACCTACTACTATAACACTTACTACTACAACACCTACTACTACAACAGCTACTACTATAACACCTACTACTACTACTACTACTACTACTACTACTAGCCCGACCCCAAACCGAGAGCATTGGTTAGGCCGGTCAGTACATTGCCTAATAGACCGCATAGTTGATTGACAATAAATAAAAGCGACAATGGATTACAGCCGGTGGGCGTCAGCAGTGTATTGCACGGCAGGCCAGTGGCCACCTGTAGGTCAGGATTGGCGCATATCTGTTCAACTGATAGCATACCGACAGCTCCCAAACCGCACGTTACGTTGCACAGACAGCATAGGGGTATTGCGCAAACATCGGTCGACGATTCAACATTAGGACAAGGAGGCGGCTCGGTCGGTCCGGTTGGTCCAGTCGGTCCAGTACCCGGTCCAGTACCCGGTCCAGTTCCCGGTCCAGTTCCGGGACCTGTTCCCGGTCCAGTTCCCGGTCCAGTTGCCGGCCCTGTTCCCGTTCCAGTTSCCGGTCCTGTTCCCAATCCCGTTCCCGATGGACCTCCAGTTCCACTGCCCGGCGATAATGGTCCATTAGATCCGGTACCACCGCCGTTAGGATTTAATCCCAGACCAGTTAACCCACCATTGCCTGCACCCGTATTTCCATCACCACTACCGCCACCATTACCCAAACCATTACCGCCAACAGGTACTACCAATCCATTACCAGTGCCACTGCCTGGACCGCCACCACCAGCCAATGCACCGTTAAGTAAAATTTGTTGATTTTGTTGCATCCTAACTGGTCCTCCTCCTCCTCCATTGCAGCTGCCGGTGCCGTTACCGCGATTGTTTCCAGAGCAAGTGCCTATAATTTAAAAAATAAAAATTTTGAATAATTATTTTTAATATTTAGTTTTTTTATATAAAAACTATAAAATATAAAAAATAATATAATATAAAAAATAATATAATATAATATAAAAAATAATATAAAAATAATAATAAAAAAATAAATAAATACTTGATTTAAGTTTGGTTTTTCTACCGACCTTTGGTCGACGTTTTTTGACTAAAAAAAATAAAAATATTTAAAAAATTAGTTTTTTTTAACTAATTATTAAATGGCATAATAATAATTACATTTTTTATTACTATTATTGTTAAACATTTTAAATGAATCATTTCTAATATTATTATTATTATTATTTATATAATGATTGTATCTATTGTTTAGTTGTCCATCAAATCTGGCCGCCAATGATGGCACCGTTAGTTTATCAACTATACTATAATTTATAGGTTTATCATCATCATCGGTGGTACTGTCCGATAGTTGTACTAATTCATCGCTAGTAATATACGATACAAAATCTGATTTATATTTTTAAAAAATAAAATAAAATTTAATATAAATTTAATTGTATTAAATAAATCAAACATATTTAAAAAATAATAATATAATTAATTGTTTAAATTAGTTTAATTAAATGATTAGTAGACAAACATACCTGAATAAACAGTAATCAATAATAGGGTAAACGATAACTTCATTATTAAATTTAATATTAAAAATAATAAATTTTAAATTTTAAACATTTAATAAATCATTTTGCTTTTATATTTTCTGTTATATTCAGACAAAAAAATAAATAATATTATTTTTCATTAAAAATAGTAACTTTAATGTTAATGTATTATTTTATTTTATTTTATTTTTTGTTAATAAATAGGTAAATCTAATTTTTAATTGCATAATATGGTATACAAATAAAATATTATTTCATAATTGTTAAAACTATCCAGGTGGTTTAGTTAAAACTACCCAAAATATATCATATAAATTGTGCAATTATACAAATTTGTGCAAAAAACATACAAATAAAATATAAAAATAAAATCTAATACTATTTTTGAATTAATATTTACAAATATTTTTTTTWAAAAAACTTAGCCACATAACAATTTATTTAAAAAAAACTATATTACAAATTACAAATAATTACAAATTAATGATATTAAACACAATTTGTAACAAAACTTGAATATATTATTAATAAAAATATTGACAAACATATAAACTAATAAAAATAATTTAAATTATTATAATAAAACTTATAACTTAAACAAAAAATAAAATAAATAATTACTTTAATTTATTAATCAAAAAAGTGCAAAATTGTTATATCAATACATCAATAATTTAATATAAGATTTCATTTACATATAAATTAATTGATTTTGAATTACAAGTATTTGAAATTAAATAAATAAAAATAATTTAAAAATAATTATAATTATTATTATTACACAAAATTAAAACTGTTTTTAGACGATACTAATAGCCAACTATTAGTTAATAAATTATGATTGTTGTTGGCGGTGGTGGTGGGGTCGCCAAAAACCATAGCTTCCGGTACACTGTTTACAACACACAGTGACATAAAAAACATGATAAACTCGACTAAATTCAATTGACAACAATCCTCTTGATCAGCACCGGTAGGTGGATGAGGAGGACGGGTCATAACGGTTATCATCGACGGAACGGTAGGTGTATAGGTTGGATGGCATCGTTCATCATCATTGTCACGACAGTCATCACCACCACCAGGTATTTCTGGTGTAGGCACTGGTGGATGACCGCTATTGGATGGTCTACCGGGAGTTGGAGGAGGTCTATGTGTATGACTCGGTGTAGTAGTAGTAGTGGTTGGTCGAAACGGTGAATCGGGACCAGTTATGCCGATCGGTGTTTTGCTCCATACGTTTGCCGGTGATGTTGGTGTAGGCGATGATGGGGTATATTCAGGTGTAGTCCATATGTCGACGGGTGGTACAGGAGGTGGTGGAGGTATGTGCTCGTGATTGGGCTCTGTATGCCCGATGCCGTTGACTATGACCTGTTGTTGTTGTTGTTGAACAACTACCAGTGCCGGTGTTGTTGTCATCGGTCTACTAGAACCTACAGTTAGATATATATATATATATATTAGACTAACTGTTTTCTAATATCAGGTGAAACAACAAACTTTTTTTAGGTTTTTTCTTTTTGTTAATATATTTTTTGATGTGATGAAGACCCGGTACATTGATTATCATTGTCTGTGAATCGGGTTGTTTGGGACGCCGTTTTCTGGCCGCTGGTGGTGGTCGTCTCGGAGATGACATATTTTTAGCACCACCGACACCGATATTATCATTGATGATGGCTATACTACTGTCCATATCTGGCTCTAACGGCATACCCATATTAGTAGGTCCTCCTAACCATATGTCGGGTGCAATCATATCGGTTAAGTCATAGTCCATGTTAAGTGATTGTCTAACTATTGGCCGAAATTGACTATCATTTTGACATTTTATATAATCTAATGATTAAATTTTTTTTAATGATTATTAATTAGTAATATTTATTAATTTATTTTTTTTGTAAAAAAAAATAATTAGTACTAAAAATATTAATTTTAATTTATAAATACCTTGAAATAAAATGATAATAAATAAGAAAATACTTAAATTATTTAATTTATTCATAATTAATATTATTAATAATAACATAAATATTTTTTTATGTTTTTTTTAAAAAAATAAATACAAAATTTATTAATTACATAATTAATAATAAAAATGTTTCAATTATATAAAAAAATATGTGTATTTATATTACTATTACATTTAGCTAACATAATTTATTATTTAGCTGTATTTTAAATTTATTATAAATATATAAAATTAAACTAGATTATTTAACATTTATATTTTATTTTTAAAAAAAATTAATTAATTTATTTTTTTTATAATAGTTAGTTAAAAAGTTTATTACTATTCAATATAATATTTTAAACACTACTAAACAAATCAACAAATATCTGATATATATATATATATATATATATATATATATATATATATATATATATATATATATATATTGTATTTATAGTTATAATTTGCATTTAATTAATTATATTTTAAWACTATACAAAAATGTACAGGTATATACATATATAACAAATTTACTATTAATATTTAATTTATTTTTTTAAAAATAAAAATATATGACAAAAAAATGTAATTATAATGTTTTATTAAAATTTACTACAAAATAATGTTTGAAACAAAAATATAAATTATTATTATTATTGAAATCAATTTTATTTTGCAATCAAACAATGATTATTTAGCAGATTTTTTTATATTAAATAGTTAAAACAATAATGTTTAATTACTGTATAGCAAAAATAATAAAAATAAATTTATTAATTCAATTTATTGTAAAATGTTTTTGTTTTAAATTAAAAAAATTAAACATTAATAATATTAAAATAATATATTAGATATACAATAAATTATTTAGTTTATTAATTAAAAAAATAAATAACAACAAAATTATATATAAAATAATATATAATTTATAATATACTTAATTAATTACAATAAATAAATACTAAATAAATATAGTATTATATAAGTAATGTTTTATTTATATATTACTTAAAGCCAGTTSCTCCTCCACTAAACTGGTCCATAAGCACCAGTATTACCATTGAGTCCACCAATACCTCCTAGACCGCCCACACCACCAGCGCAACCAGGCGCACCCTGACCACCAGCACCGCCGTAACCGCCACTACCGCCGCGTCCACCCAACCCGCCCGGTCCTCCACCCGGACCTCCTCGACCGCCATCGCCTCCACGTCCACCTTTGCCACCTACACCGCCAGTACCGCCCGGACACCCATAACCCCCGACACCACCAGTCTGCCCAGGTCCACCATCCTGACCATTTTGTCCCCGTTGACCTGGCTGTTGACCCGGTGCTCCATTGGTACCGGGAATTCCGTCAGCTCCCGGTGCACCCGTTGCACCAACAACTTGTATAACAGATGTATTGGCAATACCTTTACCCGCCTTTCCTGGCGAACCGTTTCTACCAGACTTTCCACAAGTTTGCTGAACAGTCATACCGATTGTCGTCAGCACCAGTAGTAGTAGTAGGCATAGTAGGAACTGTACCCTTATTGTCATAATTGTTATTTTAAATTAATAATATTAGTACTAATTTGTTTGTTAATTAAAAACAAATTTAATAATAATTAAAAAAAATATAATAAGTAAAAAATATAATGTTTTCCCAATTACTTTATATAGAAATTTAATTAATTAATTAATTAATAATAATGCAAAAATAAAATTGCTAGTAATCATTGATAATAAAAATTTAGCATACTCATTTTATTTATTTTGTAATTTATTTAAGTTTAAATTTATTATTGATAAATAATTTTTCATATGAAATTGTTACCGCTTAAAATGATTAAACAATTTTTAAAAAATTAATTTAAGTTTTTTTTAATTGATAAAGTTTAGTATATAAAAACAATTAATTAATTTTTTAAAAAAATTATTAAAATATAATAATAATTATTAAAATATAATAATAATTATTAAAATATAATAATAATTATTATTAAAAATAATAATAATTAAAATTCTAGATTATTGCTGAACTCAAAAAATCTAATTAAATGCCAATAATTTTACATTTAAATTATACAACAATTTTGTTTATAAATTTAATACTATATTAGTACTGAAAGTTCATCTAATATATACTGTCCTAAAACGTTATCAATATATATTTATATATATATGAGATATTATATACAAAAATATATATATACATAGATATTAAGTCAACTTTCCCTATAGTTTTTAGTAAATATATAAATATGATATATTAATTGATAACAACTTATCATTTTTTGAATAAAATATTTTTAATATCATTTCATAGTACAGTATATATATATATATATAAATATTTCTATTAATATATAAATATATATATTTATTGATCACTACATATCACGTTAAATGTCTAGTTTTTATATCATTATTATTATTATTATTATCACTGAAACCAAATCTATTGAACGATAATCATGTTTATCATAAAAAATTAAACAAAACTAAAATTTAATTATACATTTTTCTCAAATACAAAATTTTATATAAAGTATAAATTAAACATAAATATATATAATATATTATATATATATATATATATATATATAAATATAGACAATAATAAATTTATTTTAGTTAATAAATTTTAAATAATAAATATATTAATTATTTATAACTTTATTTTTGAAAACTTTTAATTTAATAAATAGTTATGTTTTATTATGTAATAATAATACTAATAATTTTGACTATACTATCACTGATATGGTGGTACAGACAACGTGTCCACAGTATGACAGTACTGTCCCGTTGCGGTATACCSGGACCCCAGCCTCAGCTAATCATCGGCAATATGACTGACTACTATCGGTACGGTTATAATGAATGTTTTGAACGGTGGCGCCAAAAATATGGCAAAATTTTTGGCTACTATTTGGGCGCCAAACCGTTTGTCGTGGTCACTGATCCCGAATTACTGAAGCTGATCCAAGTCAAAGAGTTTAACCAGTTTTTTCATCGACCATATGTCGTACCGGGCGGTCTCTACCGAAACCCGAAGTTTCATCAACAGGTATGTGTGAATTGTCTAATAATTTGTTGACAATACTATTGCTTCTCCTGTTTTTTKTGTGTGGGTTTAATCTCTCTCTYTSTCTCTCTTTGTCTCTCTTTGTCTCTCTTTGTCTCTCTTTGTCTCTCTTTGTCTCTCTTTGTCTCTCTTTGTCTCTCTTTGTCTCTCTTTGTCTCTCTTTGTCTCTCTCTCTCTTTGTCTCTCTCTCTCTCTCTCTCTTGTCTCTCTTTGTCTCTCTCTCTCTCTCTTTGTCTCTCTCTCTCTCTCTCTCTCTTGTCTCTCTCTCTCTTTGTCTCTCTCTCTCTTTGTCTCTCTCTCTCTCTTTGTCTCTCTCTCTCTCTCTTTGAACTCTCTCTCTCTCTCTCTCTCTCTCTCTGAACTAAGACAACTCTCTCTCTCTCTCTCTCTCTCTCTTTGCTCTCTCTCTCTCTGGTGAGCTCTCTCTCTCTTATTGCCATTTCAAATCTCTCTCTCTCTAGTTTGGGTACAAAGAATCTCTCTCTCTCTCTGACTTACTGTCTCTCTCTCTCTCCTCTCTATGCTCTGAGTCTCTCTTTGCTCTCTCTCTCTCTTAAAGTGGACAGGGTCTCTCTCTCTCTATGTGACTCTCTCTCTCTCCTGATCCTTTTTTTCTCTCTCTTTGCTCTCTCTCTTTGCTCTCTCTTTTTGCTCTCTCTCTCTCTCTCTCTCTCTTTGCTTTCTCTTTGCTGTTTTTTGCTCTCTCTTTGCTCACTCACTCTCTCACTCACTCTCTCTCTCTCTCTCACTCACTCACTCACTCACTCACTCTCTCTCTCTCACTCACTCACTCTCTCTCTCTCTCTCTCTCACTCTCTGCTCAGATCAATCGGGTCGGACCGTTCAAGTGGCGGGCAATGAGACAATCGATGAGCCCGTGGTTTAGTTCRCTACAACTTCGGTCGCTAATACCAACCATCGAACAGTGCTCGGATGTGATGMTYGGAAAACTGGAACCGTTAGCCGAATCGGGTCGTGAGTTCAAYATCTATCGGGTGTTCGAAGGTATGACTATGGATGCCATACACCGGACGGCGTTTGGCGTAATGTCCGATCCGCAGCTGAATGTCGAAACCAATGAGCTTATGGATGCTCACCGGACAACATTGTCGGCCAAAACTAGCGAATGGTTGGCCACACTGTTGCTATGTTTCCCGGAGTTTTCGGCGGTCATCAATCCATTGCGCGATATACTCGAAAAACTATGCGAACTGTTCGGGTTGTCCTCGGATGAGAAACTATGGCAAAACATTGAGGCCATTGTCGACACACGTATTCAGGGCTATCGTGAAGGTATACGCGGCGGCGACAGCTATAAAGACATATTGGAACTGATGATCGAAAAACTGGAGGACAGGGATCCGGATAAACGGTTGACCAAAACCGAGATTATAGCCAACGTGTTGGGTATCGATGAGGCGGCTTTCGAAAGTCCGGCCAATAATTTGGGTTTCGTTTTTCACTATCTGGTCAACTGTCCCGATATACAGGAGCGCGTATACGAAGAACTTGAATGTGTTGTCCTACAGGAAAGTTCGGGTAGTCTAAGCTATGATACACTGAAACGACTGGAATATACCGAAGCTGTAATACTCGAAGCGTTTCGCATATACCCGACTGACCCCTTGTTTATCAGTCATTCACCCGATCGGGATTTTGTCTATCGGGAATCGCTAACATTACCCAAAGGTGTCGACATCAGGGTACCGATGTATCAGTTACACCGTGATCCCGATCACTGGCCACAACCCGATCAGTTTCTACCCGACAGGTTCCTCGGCTCCGATCGCCAGAAATCAATCAATCCGTTTGTCTATCAGCCGTTCGGTGTCGGACCGCGACTATGTCCGGGCAAACGGTTCAGTATATTTGAAGTCAAACTAATTATCGCACAAATACTGCTACACTATCGTGTCGTACGGGGTTTGCTAACCGAACCGTTAGACAGTCTAGAGTTAGATTTCAAACTGTTTTCTCTGTCACCGAAAAACGGTATTTACGTACGACTATTGCCGAGAAAATTTAAATAATAATAATAATAATAATTTTAATTTTTTTTAATTATTTTTAAATTATGATATTATGATGTTTATATTGACTTTATTTTTCATAAATAATATATATATATATTATAATATATATAGATATATATATATATATATATATATTAGATAACTATATATATTTAATATATATATATAATGTTTTTTTATATTAAAGTAATTTATAAAATATTAAATTTATATATTAAAAAAATAATTACTGAATACACTTGTTTGAGATACTATTTTCAAATCATTAATTAATTAAAAAAATTTAATACATTTTTTTTATTAATGAAAATTAATTTATAGTATAACTTTCTAAAAAATTTTCTAACATTTCTAATTAAAAGTGATTTATTATTATAATTTTTAGTTTTAACCAAGGTTAACATTTTGAATTTAATTATTATTAATATTATTATTAATTATAGACTATTATAACTTGTTTACAACTAAACCGAAAAACACATGTATTATAAAAATACATAACAAAGTTAACTATTATTGTATTAAACAAACTAAATATCAATTAATCTGATAAAACAATTGAAAATTTTTTCCAATTAATTAATTAATTATAACACACAACTTAATACAATATAATATATTATTTTTTATGTGTTTTAATTTTTTTTGTAAAAAATAATTAAAAAAAATCTTATGATCTTATGATAGAAACTAAATTAATTACAATTTTAATAAACTATATATCATTATATTATATACATTATTAGATCAATGAATTTATTTAATTTTTTTGTTGTAATATCCAATAAATCATTTCAATTTACATCACTTATTGATAATTGATTAATATATCACACGTATATCAAACCTATACCTACAGTATACTACACACACACACGTAAATCCTATCAACTATTTATAGAGTATATAAAGAGTTGGACAAACAGTTAGCTAAATATCATATCAAATAAAAAGTTTTTGAATTAATAAAACTTTTTAGTTTTCTAATTGACTGACACAATGAAAGTCCTGATAATAGTCGCAGCACTGGTATCCGTAACGGTTGGCCTATCGTTCAGAGTCAATGGTGGTGTCGGTGGTGGTGGTAATGGTGCTTCTGCTCAGGCATCTGTCGGTGCCAGTGGTAGTGGTCGTCTGGGTGGTGGTATTGGTGGAGGACTGGGCGGTCTATTCAGTGGTTTTGCCAATATTTTCGATAGTGGTCTCAATGCCGGTATTGATGCTGTCGGACAGTTCGGTAAACTGGGCGAAAATATGTTGGACCAAGGTTTGAATGCGGCTAACGGTGCTGTCCAAGGTGCCGTGGGTCTGGCCGACAATGTTATGCATACGGCTACCGGTGCGGTTGGTCAATTTGGAAAAATGGGCACAAATATTATGGGCACTGGTCTGAAGGCAGCTAACGGTGCTGTTAATGGTGCTCTGAAGGGTGCTATGGGTATGGCCAGCAATGGTATCCATATGGCCAGCGATACTATTGGTAATTTTGAGCAATTAGGCGGACAATTGTTCAACACGGGTTTGAATACAGCTAACGGTGCTCTGAAAAATGGTCAAAATTTGGTCGGTAATGTAATGAATCAGGCTACCGGTGCCTTGAAAAATGGTCAAAATCTGGCCGGTAACGTACTAAATCAGGCTACTGGTGCCTTGAATACCGGTATCAATGCAGCTACTGGTGCCTTGAAAAATGGTCAAAATTTAGCCGGTAACTTAGTCCATGAGGCTACTGGTGCCTTGAATAGCGGTATCAATGTAGCTACCGGTGCCTTGAAAAATGGTCAAAATCTGGCCGGTAATTTAGTCCATGATGCTACTGGTGCTGCTCAGGGAGCCTTGAACACCGGTATCAATGCAGCTAACGGTGCCTTTAAAAATGGTCAAAATTTAGCCGGGAACTTAGTCAATAAGGCTACTGGTGCTGCTCAGGGAGCCTTGAACAACGGTATAAAACAAGCTACTGGTGTTGCTGGTCAAATTCAAAATGCTGCTCAGGGAGCCTTAAACAACGGTATCAATGCAGCTAACGGTGCCTTTAAAAATGGTCAAAATTTAGCCGGGAACTTAGTCAATGAGGCTACTGGTGCCTTGAACGCCGGTATCAATGCAGCTAACGGTGCCTTGAAAAATGGTCAAAATTTAGCCGGTAACTTAGTCCATGAGGCTACTGGTGCCTTGAATAGCGGTATCCATGCAGCTACTGGTGTTGCTGGCCAAATTCAAGGTGCTGCTCAGGGAGTCTTGAATAGCGGAATAAATACTGCTACCGGCGCCTTGAAAAATGGCCAAAATCTGGCCGGTAACGCACTCAATCAGGCTCAGGGAGCCTTGAACAACGGCATCAATCAAGCTACTGGTATTGCTGGCCAAATTCAAGGTGCTGCTCAGGGAGCCTTGAACTCAGGTATCAATGCAGCTACAGGTGCCTTAAAAAATGGTCAAAATCTGGCCGGTAACGCACTCAATCAGGCTACTGGTGCTGCTCAGGGAGCTTTGAATAGCGGAATCAATGCAGCTACCGGTGCCTTGAAAAATGGCCAAAATCTGGTTGGTAACGCACTCAATCAAGCTACTGGTGTTGCTAGCCAAATTCAAGGTGCTACTCAGGGAGCCTTGAACTCAGGTATCAATGCAGCTACTGGTGCTGTTGGCCAAATTCAAGATGCTGCTCAGGGAGCCTTAAACACTGGTATCAATCAAGCTACTGGTTTGGCTAACAAAGTTCAAGATGCTGCTCAGGGAGCCTTCAATAACGGTATCAATGCAGCTACTGGTGTTGCTGGTCAAATTCAAGATGCTGCTCAGGGAGCCTTAAACACCGGTATCAATCAAGCTACTGATGTTTTTGGTCAAATTCAAGATGCTGCCCAGGGAGCATTGAACACCGGTATCAATCAAGCTACTGATGTTTTTGGCCAAATTGAAGACGCTGCTCAGGGAGCTTTGAACACTGGTATCAATCAAGTTACTGGTGTTGCTGGTCAAATTCAAGATGCTGCTCAGGGAGCTTTGAACACCGGTATCAATGCAGCTACTGGTGCTGTTGGCCAAGTTCAAGATGCTGCTCAGGGAGCAGTTGATGCTGCCGATGATTTGGCCGGTGAGGCTACCGGAGCCATCGAAGGTAGTCTGCCTTCTGGTGAAGTATCAATTAATTTCTAAATTTGTTTTTATAGTTTTTTTTAAAAATATAAATTTGTTTTTTTTTGTTTTTTTAAATATATATATATATATATATATAAATTTGTTTTGTTTTCAAAAAAAATTATTATTATCATTTTCTAAAAAATATGTAAAAAATATTAAAATTATCTAAAAATATAAATAAATAAATACTAAATTTTTGCATTTCATAATTAAAAAACTTATTTTTTGTTTACTTATAAAAAACTCATTGAATTTTTAAAAAATTTTTAAATATTTTTTTTTATACAAGAAACTTGATATATTTTTAAAAATAAATTATTAAATTGGTTATTAGGTTTTAATATTTAAAACTAATTATTAAACCTTTTAATAGTTGTTATTAATATATTTAAATATTAATATAATAGAAAGCCATTTAATTAAGACATTTAAATTTATAATAATAATAATAATAATAACTACAGTATATTTGTTGCTAAATTTATTTGCTATAAAATATTCAAAAAATAAATTTTAAATCAAACAAACAAAATATTATGTTTTTTTTTATATAAACATTAATAGTTTAGTCAAACTTTTTTGCATACAATACACTTGTATTAGTCAAATAATAAATAATTTTTTGAACACATTTATTAAAGTGAAGAAAATTTTAATTTAATAAATATTTGAATTATTAATAATATTTTAATTATTGTTATGTTTAACTGTATATATATATATATATATATATATATATACAGTATATATATATATATATATTTATTCATTGCTTAAAATACAGATATTTATTGTTTATAAAGTTGTTGTTAAAAGTGTTGATGATTTTAAATTATATAATAATAAGTCATTATATCAGTTATTATCGGTTAAAAAACATTATTTTTTAAAATATTTTTTAGGTTTAACTAATGTTGAATTACCGTTGAAACCGTTAGCTAGATATGCCTTTCCGCCACCAAATTGATTGCCACTAAATGGTTGATCAACATATGGCTGTTGTTGTTGGGATTGTTGGGATTGTTGACCAAACGGGTTATTATTATCATTATTATTAATACCGTTAGTATTACTGTTACTATTTTGCGGTACATTTCTAGTGGACAGTTGACCGTTTTGTTGTGTACCAAATCGGTTAGGCATAGTATTACCATTGTTTATAGGAGGATAACGTGTATTTCCATTATCTACGGGACTGTTATGTTGTTGACTCTGTGCCATAGCTGTCTCATTGATAACATTCCTATCAATATATACATAATTGTTATATAATTTAAAAAAAAATATATTATTTTGTATATATAAAAAATTTATATATTATTTATTATTAATATTTATTGTTTTAATTTTTCTAAATAATAAAAATTGTTGAAATATTGTGGATATTGTTAAACAATTAATAATACATATTGTTTTTATTGTAAGTTATATTTTATAACATTTTTTTTATTAATATATAACTGTATAACAAAAATAACTATTGTATAAACAATTAGATTAATTTTAATCATTTTTTGTCATATATACACATATGTGACATAATTTTTTTAAAAAATAATAATAATAAAGTTGATAATAAAAAAATTAAAAGTAATAACTAACTATTTTTGTTTGTTTTTATAAAAATATTTAAAAAAAAATATTTAAATATAAAATATTATTACTGTTATAACTTAATAGAAATAAAAATCAAATAATAACTAACTAATTAAAATAAATTTAATAAAAAAAATTAATACTATTTTATATTAAGTTATTAATTTAGCATATTTTTAAAACTACCTTGCAAAATATTTAAATTATAATATAATATTAATTAATTAATTAAAATATAATAAGTATAATACTTTATATATTTAAAAAAAAAATTAAAAATTAAAAACAAAATTATACAAACCATGAGCACAAACATTTGGAGCCCCGACACCCACCCGATCCGTACTAATTAAATATTTTGATTATAATTAGGATTAAAAATAATAAAAATAATTATATTAAAGGTATTATTAAACACTTACACCGGCAGTCACACAGTAGTAGAAGCACTCGTAGCTACAGGTATTACCACTAAGTCCGCACCCATAGTCACCATAAGCCGTAAACAATGATATCGTTAATATGATTAAGATTTTAATTACTATTACTTTCTGATAAAACATTTTTATTTGTTTGGAAAAAAACAGTAAAAAAAAGTTTGTTTTTATTTTAATAAATAAAATAAATGAAACCTTATATTAATGTTAATCAATATGTTTGCTATTAAACTATATAATAATAATAAAATTGACACAATATTTAATATGAAAATAACTTTATAAAAGTATTAATTGATATTGTTTTATATATTTTTAATATAAAAAACAAAAATTAATAAATTTATATATTATAAAATATGTTTTTCAATGACAAATAATATAATATTAATTGTCTTAAATAAATATATATTGATTGCCAAACAATGTTATATCTATATCTAAATGTTATTTTTATATGTTTTTATTAATAATATGTATTATATTTTTAAAACTATTAATCTACATATAAAAAATATTTATAAATTTATTAAAATGTCATAAAAAAATATTATAAAATATTTATTTAATAATACTTTTACATTTAACATGTAAACTACTAATATATTAATTATTTTTTTTATAATTATAATAATTTTAATATTCACACAATAATTAATTGAATCGTTAGATTTACAACATATTTAACCAGATATACAATTATAAAAAAAACATTGAAAATAATAATTACTAATATATTTAATTAATGAAAAAATCATATTAATATATATAGTTATTATATTTTCAAATCTTATTGTGTTTGTATGTTTGTATAGTTTTAATATCATAAATACAAAATAATAATTAATTAGTAAATCATAATATTATAGTTATTAATGCAATTTATTTAATCAATATTAACATTTATTTGTGTATAAATATATAATTAGATTTAAAATATTTTTGTGGTCAAAAAAAATGTTTTAATATTATTTGATAAATCTGATCTTTTTTTATATAGAAATTATAAAATTATGTTTAATTATCTTTTATATAATATACAGTTAAAAATATATAGTAATTGCTTAATACACCACACAATGGGATTATTATTTCATAAAATTAATGAAATTATTTTAAATTATAATTGTAAGTAATTGTGAAATTTTTATTTTTTTTAATTGATTTATATTTTATTTATTTTATTTTAATGTAATTAAATGATTTTATTTATTTATTAACTAATTGAATAATTAATTTAAAATACATAATAATAATAAAATTTTAGTTAATATTTTTTTTAAAAAAAATAGTTATAATGAATGAGTTTAAAAGTTAACAATTTTTTTTTTGAGAAACTTTCCAAAGAAATTTTCCTGAATTTTTGTTTGTTTGTTTGCTAAACTATACCCTGTATTAGATCCACCATTCCCGTATAGTACAATGGGCACCTGTATGATGTGTGATCAGTCGACATTGTGGACAAATCAATTGCCGCCGCCGTCCATTGGTTGGCAAATACTGGTCATCAATACATTGATTGTGAAACCAATGACCGCAACAAGTCTTGACAACGCTGTCGTCATCATAACTGATCCGTTGGCCACAAATTGGACAATAATTGCTGTTTTCATTGTTGACTTCTTTCATAAGTTTGTTGTCCTCAATAATAATCGGATCAGTTTGTGACGAATTGGACGACAAATTCATCAGTTTTTGTCGGTCATCGGTGGTAACAATTGTCGACAATAATGATGATCCGATTTGGCCCAAAGTCTTCGTATTTTCAGTAATCACTTGTTGTGTTTCATCATCAGTCGTCTTAGCCATCGATGACTGACTATCCATCATATAATCAATTGGTTGCTTATAATTGTCAATCAGTTGTTTAATATCATTGACTGGACTACTATTGATCACTGTTTTGCTATCCATCAGTAGATCAATTGATTCGTACTCCTCATGAGTATCCCTATCATCGACAATATTGACCACAATATCTTGTGTCTGATTGGCTATTAGTGGAACCGATTTATTATTATTAGACAATTGTTTATCATATATATCCCGAAAACAATACAATTCATTGATAATCGTTTGATAAAACTTCAGGACATTCGGTAAGTCGGGAACAGCCGTACAATCCGACAGTCCATCCAAATCGGTGTCAATATCGGTAAAGTCGACCAAACCATCGATGGTCTCCCGATTGACCTGTCGTTTCCAAATCGTTGTCTGTTGTCGTATAGATTTCTTTCGGCTGTTAATCCAATCGGTGGCAACAGTCAACTGGTCGGCCAATGGCCACAATCTAGAGGTCACCACCGCTTCGTTATGCATGTATCGGTTGGACTCGTTTTGCATATACTGGCCGTAAGTGCGCAACAAATTGATATATAAATCACACCATTTGTCGGCCAATTTGCTGCGGCTGTCGATGTCTTTCAATTTTAATTGACCAATACGTCTGGTCATAGTTTCTACCGATTCGTTGAGCTTACGTTGATTGGCCACTAATCCGGCCAATAGCTGATCATCTGGTAGTTGATAGTCATCAACATCATCACCGCCGCCGCTATCAATGTCGCCGATAGTGTCCATAGATTCAGCCGAATGGTCGACAAGTGGTCGCTATTGTGTGTGTCGTTCGATAGTTTACCGTCGGCTACAACAACAACAATAGTGGACACAACAAACAAATCAGACAATTATCGACACAAACGGTTGAATAGATTTTTTTTGTGTTGAATGTTATAATAATAATTGTAATAAATTTTTATATTGTATTATAAATCAAATATAATATTAATGGTATAAACTCTTAAACCGGAAGCGAGACAGTAGTTTGAAGCACTGGTAGCAGTATAGGTATTACCGGGTTATTACCGCACACCCATAGTTCAACCCATATAAATAGTATTAACAATGATTTATTATTAATATAATTAATATTTATTTATTTTTTTTGCAATAATCACAACTTTCCCGATTAAAATATTAGTGTAAACTACAGTAAAAGTTTTTATTTTTAAATTTTAAATGTGATATAAATAAAATTAAAAACTATTTTTTAATTAATGTTAATCAAGCAATGTTTGCTATAGTTAAAATATATAATAAAATTTAACAAAATATTTAATTTAAAAAAAACAACTAATTGTATTAATTGACATTGTTTTATATATATATATATAAATTATATAAAATATATAAATAAAAATTAATAATTAATAATTCAATATATATAATATAAAAAATATGTTTTTTCTATAACAAATAATATTAATTGTCAAACAATGTTCAAATGTAAATGATTTATGTATTATATTTTTTAAAACTATTAATATACATATTAAATAATTTTTAAATAAATTGAAATGTATAGATATATTTTAAATATTATAATTTATAAATATTTATTATTAATAATATTATTACATTTAACATTTACTACTAAAATAAAATTATTTATTTTTTTTAATTAATATATTCCATTTAAATAAAATTAATTTTTATTATTTGTAAAATTTTTTTGACAGTAGTATAAGTTAAATCTATTGTTAATTAATTGAATTTTAATATATTTATAAATATATCTAAGTTATTATAAAAGTATTTCAATTAATTAAATAATAAATTCAATGAAAAAATTATTAAATATAATATGTATTAATTACTACTTGTATTGAAATTGATATTTTTTTATAATTTAAATAATATAAAATAAAATTATATAATTTTACAAAATTTTGTATTAACAATACAAATATATAAATAATAAATTATATGTATATTTTTAATTAGGTTTTAATTTGAAATACAAAACAATGATTAATTGCATCGTTAGTTTTTACAACTTGTTTAACCAGATATTAACACTAAAGTGATTCACAAAAAAAAATAAAAATAAATAATAATTTCATAACTTGTTTACTATTACATTAAATTTATGTTAATATAGTTATTATATTTTCAAAAAATCTTATTGTATTTGTATGTATAGTTTGTAATCAGATATACTCTACAAAAAAATAATATTAGTTTTTAATATATATATTAATTTATATATTATATTACTCATAGCTATCTCTCTCTCTCTCCGATTACAAATTGTGTTCAAATAATATATTATTTAATTAAATTAATAACTTATATATATATATAGTTTATATCTGTTTATATTTATAGCATTGAAACCAAAAAACATATATTGTTTATCCAATTATGTCATTGTATTGTAAAGTATTGATAAATACTGTATTTTGAATACAATAGTTATGTGAAAGTTTGTAATTATATATTAATAAACATATATATATGTTATGTTATATATATAATATGTATTAATACAGTATAACTTAAATAAAATTAATATTTATTATTATTATTAAGTGGTTAGACAAAAATTAGTGAAAACTTGTTGTTTTTGTTTTTCATTATTAATAAGTTTATTGATAAAAATCTTGTTTTTTAAAAACTTTAAATAAATATAATTTATATCATAAAATTGAAAGTCCTTCAAAATTGATTAATATTAATATTTTTATTTTAATCATCAAATACAGTATATTATCAGCTATTTTTGGTATATATACAGTCGCTTTCAGAAGGGTGGTAACTGGTTTTTAGTGAATATCTCACTAAATATAATAGATAGAATAAAATTATTATTTATGGTACTATGGTTTTCTGGGACGGATATTATAAAATCTTAATATTCGATGCAGCCCAGCTCAGGGATGTAGGGACAGGGAGGTACTGTATCTCAAAAACTATAATAGATATCAAAATATAGTAAAAATTATTATATACAGGGTAAAAATTCATTTCATACGTGTTTTAGGATTTTTTAAAATATTGAGTTGTTTTCGAACAAAAAATATAAAACTGTCAAAAATGCAAAAGTTTGATATAGGTTAAATTAAAAGTGTCAAGGTGTTTTAAAATTTAATTAATTGATCTTGAATCTATATTATATGCTTAATAATTTGTCTATACATAAATTTTAATTATAGTGACTAGTTACTTAGTTATTTAATAAAAACTATTTTTCCATTATATAACAAAATTAATATTAAGTAATATTGCACTTATGTATTATTTAAATTACATAATAAGAAATTAGTTTTTATTAAATAACTAAGTAACTAGTCACTATAATTAAAATTTATGTATAGACAAATTATTAAGCATATAATATAGATTCAAGATCAATTAATTAAATTTTAAAACACCTTGACACTTTTAATTTAACCTATATCAAACTTTTGCATTTTTGACAGTTTTATATTTTTTGTTCGAAAACAACTCAATATTTTAAAAAATCCTAAAACACGTATGAAATGAATTTTTACCCTGTATATAATAATTTTTACTATATTTTGATATCTATTATAGTTTTTGAGATACAGTACCTCCCTGTCCCTACATCCCTGAGCTGGGCTGCATCGAATATTAAGATTTTATAATATCCGTCCCAGAAAACCATAGTACCATAAATAATAATTTTATTCTATCTATTATATTTAGTGAGATATTCACTAAAAACCAGTTACCACCCTTCTGAAAGCGACTGTATATATATATTAAATATATAATAAACTACTGTACTATGTTTTTTGTTGAGTGACTATATTAAGTTAATATAATATTAATAATATTATTAACAATCACTATATTGACTGTATATTAGTTAAAATAAAATAAAAAATATTTTTTTGTGTAATTTATATATTTTCATCAGCTATTTGTTATCAAATATACTGTATATTGAATATACAGTACAGTAAAAGTTATTTATATACAGTATATATATATATATATATTTATATACTGTAGTCTATATATGATATAATTTATATGTGATAATATGTGAGAGCTATAAAATGCAATTTATTTAATCAATGATAACATTATTATATATATTAATATATATATATATATATATATAAGTTATAACCATAACTACGATAAATTTTTTTGTGGTTAAAAAAATGTTTTAATATTATTGTTTTAAATCTCTGATTTTTTTGTGGAAATAATAAAATTTTATTTTTTTTAATTATGTTATATAATATACAGTACAATACATAGTAATTACATACTGTATACACTTACACTTATATATTAGGGAAAAAACATATGTGTTATACATGTATTATACATAAATAAATAAATAATAATCAAAATAATAATAATAATAATAATATATTATTATAAATTATAAATTGTGTTTATCTCTTGAAAAATAATAAGGAAATATTAATCAACAATAATAATAATAATAATAATAATAATTTAACTATTGTTATATGTGTGTATATAATTTTATTTAAATTAAAAATATAAGGTTATAAAAATTAAAAACTTATAGCTAAAAGCCATTAAAAATTGTTTTATTTATCTGTGAATAACCTAATGCTAAATATTCAAACTAAAATTAAAGATTAAATCAACATTAATAATTTATATACGGTATATATAACTTTATATATATATAAACTTTAAAAAAATTATTAAAAACAACAAAAATTGTATTAATTAATTAATACATTGATATTATAATTTGCTATATTTTTGTTGTTATTAATTGTGAACTCCTTTTTTAGTAAATAAAATATTTTTAGTTTCAAACCAACCAACAAAAAAAAATAACATCAAAAAAACCTGAAAACTTCAAAAACTAGATTATTTTGTATATTATTTTTTTTGTAATAATAATAACAAATATAATTATAATTAATATTAATTTTTCTATAAGTTTTTAAATAACTAAACATTAAGTTTAGTATATTTTTTAAAATACACATAAAAATCCAGAACTACTGTCAATTTTTGTGATTAGTTATTGATTTTTAATTTTTTAAATAATAATAATAATAATAATCTCATAAAATGGATAACAACTCCAACCCGAACACCACCACCGATATGGACAACATTACCGAAGCGGTAGACATATTGGACAAGTATTGTCGCGACCGGAAATATCAGCGCCCGAAGTATCGCATTGAGTTCATCAGCGACGATGTCTACAAAAAAGTCTATACCGTCAGCTGTGAGGTCAAAGGTATGGTCAAAGTGGCCGATTCGGGAATATCGAGACGTATTGCCGAGAAAAAAGCGGCCATACGTGCGATGTCGGCTCTGCGGTACAACGGAATGCGCAGTCAATCGGTAATGCCTACGCCACAGGTGGCCGTCAGAAATGTCAAACCAAACGGCCAACTTGTGACCACTGGAGCCGCTATTGAGATCAAATCGTCTATCGATAACAGCAACAACAGTGTCCGCAAAGTGACAGCAAAATTATTGAACAACGGCTCGACCACCACTGATGGCCAGAAACTGCGTTCCCGATCGGAGCCAAAGTTGAACAAACTTTCAATGGATGTAAACGACATACAGTTTATCGACGATAACAATCGTAGTATAGCTGGTGGTGGTGGTGGTAACGGTAGCTCAGGTAGTGGTAGTACTACAGCTGCTACCAGTGCTGCTGCTGCTAATCATTATCACCTGAGAAACAACAACAGCAACATTACCAACGCCTATGACATACAAAACCCGGGAAACGGTTTTCAACGACAGTCGCCAACAACGACAAACAGCCGCTACCGGCACAAGAGCTACGAGTCGTTAAGCAGAGGAACGGGAGATAATCATCAAGAGTTGGCTAATAATAATAATCATAATAATAATGATAATTATGTAGATATTAGTTCAATCCATGCGCTCATACAGTACTGCATTAGACGCCGACAGGCGCTACCGTTTTACGACTTTAGCTATATTGACGGCCAGTTTGTTACACAATGTCGGGTCGAGTTGGCCGTCGGCGATGATAAACAACTACAAGAATTTATGGCCTACGGATCGGCTCAGACACTGAAAGCGGCCAAAGCTATCGCCTCCCAGAAGATTATCGACGAAATCAAACAGTTAGGCCTGTATTCGGCCGACTATCCCGACAACAGGCAAGACGTCAGACACAATAGCGGAGCCGAGTTTGTCGGCCGAAGCGGTTTTGTTGTGACCACCAATAAATCGGGTGCCGATCTTCTATCACATCAGTCATCGTCATCATCCAGACAGCAGTCGCCGCTCAAAGAGTTTTCATCGTTGACCATAAATCTCAGGTCACGGCCGGTGAATGACGACAACCGGGAAAAAAAGTTTAATACATTACCGAAACTGACGACCAAATCAGCGAAAATGTATGCAACGGATGACGACTATTATGATGACAACAACGGAGAGCACCGGGTGTTCAATGAGAGTACGGGTTGTTCAACATTGGACTCCAGAGACGATAATAATAATCCTTCAAATAATAATAATAATTATAATCTGATTATTGACGACCCGGTCGGGTATCTGAGCCGCTATTGTAGCAAAAATAAGTTGAAATCACCGGACTATCAGCGAAACAAGAGTACCGCTACTTCTGTACCATCGATGTTGATGTCGACAATAAAAAACAACAAAAAAGACAACTGTCCGCTGTTTACGTACGACTGTATTGTTTGCCAGAAAACTGGCCGCAAAGTGGCCACCGGTCGTGGGTTAGGTAATACGAAAGTTAATGCCCGAAAAGCCGCAGCCGAGGATGTGGTCAAACAGTTGCTTAATATTAAAATATAATTTAAAAAAAAATAATTATTCAAATTCAATTGTAATAATTAGCTAGCTAGTTTTATTTTAATATAATTTTATAAAATAGTTGCCAAATTATTATTAATAATTAAATATTTTATTGTTTAATTATAATTTTAATTATATTAAAATAAATATATATATTATATTTTGTAAAATATAATAAATGTTAAAAACATTTGTTAAAAAATAAGTTTATTTATAAAAATTGTTTTTTATTGAATTATTTTTGCATACAATAACTTGTATTATTAAATAGATTAACAGTAATAATAATAATTATTAAACTTTAAATATATAAATATATAATATTTGTTTAAAAATAAAATGTAAATGTTTTTTACAGTTAAAGTGATATATGATTAAAGTTTATATATTGTTATTAAATTGTAAGCATTAGATAATTATAATTTAAGTGTTAAAAAATAAGTATTTAAATCCAATTATATGTTATATATAAAAGAAAATTATTAGTTAATAATTGATAACTAAAATATTTAAATAATAATTTGTCACATAATGTTTGGCTTATTATATTAATATTACTAAATATTACTAAATATTACTAAATATTACTAAATATTACTAAATATTACTAAATATTACTAAATATTACTAAATATTACTAAATATTACTAAATATTTTTTTAATGATAAATATTTGTTATATAATTAAAGAAATTAATACAATAAAATAATATTAAAATTATGTAAATTAATTAGTTAAATAGAGTTAAAATTAAATTAGTATATAATTATTGSAAATTATTATTAAACTTAATTACTATTTTAATTATAAATCTATTTTTTAATAAAATCTAATATACGATATTTATAACTATAATAATAATATAGCAAATAATGGTAAACTAATTTTTAGCTTAATAATTTTACTAAAATATTATTATTATTATAATAATCTAAAATACTATTACTGAATTCAAATGAGTTATTACTTAGATAACTTTAAAACAAATATTAATTATTAATTATTAGCTTGAATAGTTTAAATAATTTTTTTATGATATTTTAGATAATTAACAATAAATTGGCTAACATCATTAGATTTATTATTAACATTTGCGTTTGAATCTGGACAAAAATTTTGATAATTTAAATCATCAAAAATTGTTTGATGTCTAGACAGTAAATCATTAACAATATTCTTGATTTTAGTATAATCAGGTCTATTGTGTACTAATTTATAATCAGATTTCATTTGAACAATCAATTCAATTGTCTCATTGATAATTGATGTGAATAAGGCTTTATTATTGGTGACATCAGTGGTGACATCAGTGGTGACATCAGTAGTGTCATCAGTGGTGACACCACTTGTATAGCCAGTTGATTTGCTATTTTAAATTGTATAATAATTATTTATGATAACAAAAAATATTATATTTAWTTTTTAAAAAAAAACTTACTAATTAAATAGTTCGTCAGCAATAACGCCTAGAGAATAAATATCAGAATTTGGTTCGTAAGTTGTAGTGTATAGAACATCAGGCGAACAATATTTTAAAGCGCCAACATCTTTAGTACGATTTTCATTTTTATAAAATCTTCTAGCTAATCCAAAATCTCCTAACATAATGAATTTATTATTTTTATTAATTTTATTAAAAAAAATATTAGCTGCAGACAAATCTCTATGTATAATCGGAGGATTTCTTGTATGCAAATGATTTAAACATTCATTTAAATCAAGCAATATTTTGGATGATATAAAAAAATCAATATTATTTAAATAATTTACATCATATAAATTATTATTAATTCGTTTTTTAAAATCTTTAAAAGTGTTCATATCAAAATCGCATAGTTCCATTTGAATGTATAATTTATCATTTTCACGCCAATATTTAAATAGGTCAACTGTAAATTTAGATTTTGTAAAGTGTCTTAAATACCATAATTCATCTTTAAATCTAGTTACACTTTTGAATGAATAAACTGTTTAAATAAAATTTTAAAAAAATAGTATTAAAATGTTTTTTAAAAATTTGTAATTATGCACAATAATTACGTGATGTGTCAATTATTTTAACTGCGTAATAATCCATTTTCTTATCTTGAACTTTATAAACTGTGCCAAATGCGCCTTCACCTTTAAAATTTTTTTCTTGTTTAAATGAGTTATAATAATTAGGTTCGTTAGGTATATCCTCAATTGTTTTGTCAATTTCATCTAATTAAAATTATTTTAGTATTATTTTTAAAAAAAATAAACGTTATATACCTTTATGAAATTTGTATTTACTAGTAAGAAAGAATTTTACAAATTCTGTTTTTGGCGAATAATCATTTTTTGCATAAATTTCAAGTTTATCCCATATTTTTGTTATTAATAAATACCATTTATCATCATTATCATTTATTTTAAGTATTTCTTCACAAGTTTTACGTTTATCATACGTGTCTAACATATTATCTATAACTACTTTTATTATAGAGTATTCTTTTATCTGTTTTATCATTTCTTTTAATTCATTTCTTTTGCTTGTAGTCTCATCAAATTTTCTAGTTAATATTAATTATAAAAGATTTAAACATAAAAATTATATTATTTATTTATTTATTTTACATACCTTATATCATCGAAGTTTATATTGAATAATTCTAAACATATAATACCAAGACTATAAATATCGGCTTTTTCATAATTACCCTTTTTCACTTCTGGTGCCATATATTTTTCTGAACCTATATTTTTTGTATGCGATTTGTTTTCATCATCATGCTTTATTGAATAACCAAAATCACTTAATTTTATAAATTTTGAATTTTGTTGTTGAACTATCAATATATTTTTTGGATGCAGATTTCTATGTATCAATGGACTTTTAGAATCATTTAAATTTGTATGTAAATAATCAACAGCATTTAATAATTCAAAAAATATTTGTGATGCCATATAGTAGCCAATTACTGGCCAACATGTTTTAGGTTCATATTTAAAAAATAATATCATTTTTTGTATACAATCATCGAGTGAAAACAATGCTAGTTCCATTTGGTAAAACAAATTATTTCCTGCTATCCAACTGTGATTAAATTTAATAATAAACTCTTTATCCAAATTTGCCCAAGCATTTAATGCATCGGCCATTTTATTTTTTTCAATATCAGTTAAATCTTATGTTAAAATAGTTATAAATAAACATATATTATAATAAATTCAAAATAAATATGTTTACTTATTTAGTTATTATTTATATTTTTAATAGTTACGTTATAAATAATATTTAATTTAAAATTTTATTTACCATGAATTACTTTAATTGCCCATTCCTTATTATTGCCTAATTTTCGTTTTGCTCTCAAAACTGTAGAGAATTTTCCTTTTCCTATTTTTGAATAATTTTCAAAATCATCTTTTAATAAATTACAAATTTCTTCATCAGTCATATTTAAAATATAATAATAATTTAGTATAATAATTGATTTTAAACAAATTATTTTAAAACGTTTTTAATAAAAAAAAAATTTGTAAGTAAATTTTTTTTTATAATATAGACTACTTAAATACTTTTTTATTTATTTCAAAATAGTTTTGTAGCCATACAAATTATCTATTTCAATTGAATTATATATCTTATTTGTCAAAAAAATTCTTATTTATTATCTAATAAATTTAGTAGTTATAGATATTAATTTTTATTTGACATTATTTTATTATATTATATAGTATACTAATATACTTGAGATCTTTTAATATATATAAATATATAAATAATAATAATTATTTATTTCAAGATAGTTTTGTAGCTATACAAATTATCTATTTTAGATAAATTATATAACTTATTTGTCTAAAAAATTTCTTATTTATCATCTAATAAATTTAGTAACTATAGTTGTTAATTTTTATTTGACGTTAGTTCATTATATTAGTTTAACATATATTCATTTAATTACAAATATTTAATTACGTCTAGTAATAAAAATATTTTTAAAAATTAAGTCATTTATTTCTGTTAGCTTTTTATGTCCAATATTTTAAATATATATATCTTTATAATTAAGATTCTTAGTAAATAAATATTTTCATTATACTACTAATTTTTTCAATCTAAATATATAAATAAATTATACCTAAAAACATTTTTATTTAACAATTTAGTTATTTAGAGTATTTTAATTTATTTATAAAAAGAATATTCTATTTATAATATAACTAGTTAAATCATGGTAGTAAAAACAGTATGTATATATATATATTTTATTTAATAAATAAAAATTATTAATAATCTAGATATATTTTTTATTATTTATTTTATTAGATAACATACTTTATATAAACTTTCTTTATAATTTCTATTAACTATAAATATAATATTTTTTATAATAAAAAAAATTTATTAATCAATAACATGTTGTTTTACGCACTAAAAATTTTCATATAATATGTTATCTTTATTACTATTTTTTTTTATTTACAAATGTTTTTGTTTTATCATTGTTTCTAATAGTTCTTATAGATAGTTATAGAATAATATTAATATAACAATATATTTTACGTCTATTAAGTGTAATATATTTTTTTAATTATTTTATAATTTTCAAAATATATATTTTCATTTTAAAATCTGTATAATCTGTTATTATTATTAAATAAACAATTTATTTATAAAACTATTATATGTTTTTTAGTTAAGTATATTAATTAAGATGGATGAAAATTGTAATACAAATGAGATAAACAATGAATTGGAAAATCGTTATATGCAAAGATCGTTTGACCATGATACATTACGATTAATTGGTACGGGTCAATTTTCACAAATTTACCTGGTTAAACATAGAAACAATGATAAACAATATGCTATTAAAAAGATAGAAATTTCTGGTAAGACATTGTAAAATCCTATATTTTATATATTTTTATAACAGTATTATTGTTATTATTATTATTATAATTATTAGTATATACACTAAAGTATTAAAAAGTTAAAGTAATAATAATTATTAATAATATTAAATAATAATAATAATTTTTATTATTACATAGATATAACTGGTTTCGACTCAACTAATATCAAACTGATATACAATAGTATTAAACGCGGTATGAAATTGTGGTCACAGATGGACTCCGAGTGTTTCGTACGATACAACTACTCGTGGCTATCATTAGATGATAATAAATACTATATGAATATACAAATGGATTTGTGTTGGTATTCATTGGATGAGTCTATCAAACAAATGCACAGTTATTTCAGGGATACTAAACCGAAAACTGGTTGGCCATCGGTTGGCTACTATATGGCTGGCGAACTGTTTAAAGAGATATTAGAGGCAATCAATTATTTACATAAACATGATATTATTCACCGGAGTATTAAACCGACAAATATATTGATTATTAATCACAATAATCATAAGTTTATCAAATTGGCTGACTTTGGTTACGCCACTGAACACGAAACCAGTTCACAGTCGCATACAATGCTTAAGATTGACGATAAATATATGGCACCGGAAGTCAAACGTAGCAAAAAATACGGCTTAAAATCCGATATGTATAGCATCGGTGGTATTGCACAGGACTTGTTTAATATAGATATCAATAGGTTTGTAGTTATATTGTTAAATATTTAATTAATTATTTTTAGATAACGTAAACATATTACTGTATATAAATTGTTTATATTATATTAAGAAAAATTTATTTATTAATGTTTGTTATTCTAATACAAATTATTTTACTTACATATAAAGTAAATTGACAACTAATAACTTTCTTCCCATTTTATGTATTTTCATATAAAATAAAATTAAATCAATAGGTTTATTTTACTATACATATTGAACAACTTTATTAAAACGATATTGATGTTTTTTGAAATAATTATATTGATTTTTAAATTAAATTTATTAATTATATATATATATATATATATATTAAAGTAAGTTGGATAAATTAAAAAAATAACAATTATTGATAAATATATTATTATTCAAAAATAATAAACTATCTATTTAATTTATAAAATAATACTGTAAACACTATATTTATTTACTATAGTTATAATAATATTTTATAATAGATTTACTAATAATCAACAATTTTTTATTAGCAAATTCAAAAATAACCTTGATAATGATAGCAAACAAATGTTGGACATATGTTTTGTACTATTAAGTGGATCAAGCAATGAGAGACATACATGTGATTATCTGATTGAAAATAATAAATGGATTAAAAATTATGAATCAGTTAGCGATAGTATAGTTAAAATGATTGAAATTGGTCATCAATATAATTACCATGATCAATTTGTTGAATATTTTCTGGAAAATAAAACCAAACAATATTTACCAATTGAATCATTAACCATGATTAAATTGTCTCATCAATTTTCATATAGTGAATGTAAATATTGAATTTTTAATTATTATTTTTTTAATTCTAAAAAAATTATAGTCTGTAATTATTAGAGCATTAATTTCACATATAACTTATATTTTTAGTGATTAAAGATATTAACAAAATAATTAGATATATAAACAATTGATTGAAAACTAATAATTATAGCAAAAGTTTTAGTCACATAAACACATATAACAACATATTTTGAAATGTAGTCACATATTATCAAATATAAGCACATATTTAACATATAAATATAATTTAATGGAAAATAATAACTAAATTACATTTTTCTTATGTTTTTCTAGTATATGTATTATTGTTTTCAATATTTTAAAATAAATAACAAGCATTTTATGTTTATGCAATGTATTATAGATTATTACTATTTGTTAATTTTAGACAAATACTGTAACATAATATTTATGTTTTTTAAAATTCTACTAATTTCTAATGTCTACTAAAAGACAATAGGATTTAAAGATTTATTTGTATTGATTTTAATTTCTACTAACAGTATAAAAGTTGTATAATTTTAATTTATGTATTTAAGTATAAATAAGAAAAAAAAATTAATTTATAAATTGTTATTAAATATAATCACATATTTTGACTTTAAAGTAAATATAATCACATATTTTCATGTTTTTAAGCAAATATTTCATTCAATAAAATACTAATTTTAGTCACATATATCTAAAGTTACTAGTAATTATTTAATGTTGTATAATGTATAAATTTTAACAATTTTTAAAATATAATTATTAGATTATAAGTATCATTAATTAGTTATTAAATATATTTTTAAAAAATTTTTTAATTAACATAAACTGGTTATTTAATACAAAAAAATTACATTATTCAATTTAATATTATTAATTTTTGTTTAAATAATTTAATTTAGCTGATGAAAGCTATGGACAATTATCACAACAATTAGTTTATAAGCCAGGTTATTACCTGGATTCATTTACTCAAATTGATCAAATTGGTATTGGTGCTTTTGGTTATGTTTATAAAGTTTCGGATAAAATTCAAAATAAATTCTATGCCATCAAAATCATTAAACTATCAGGTAATCTGTTTATTAGCAGTATTACTAATAATAATAATTATAATAATAATTTATTGTTTGATTTTTATTTACTAAATATTTATATAATTATATAACAATTTACAATGAATGAATTAAGTAATTAATAACTATTATTATAATTATTTTATAATCAGATTTTCTTTTAATTAATATATATATTTATATATATATATACAAATATATTTATATACTGAATATTTTTTTAGGTGCAGCTGATAAAGCAATTAGTTATTTTAGTAAAGAAATCAAACATTTGAAACAAGTATCGAATTCAATATATGCTGTCAATTGTATTGATTCGTGGCTGGAAAATAATTTATTATATATCCAAATGGATCTATGTGATTTCAATTTACGTACCCTGATCGATTTTAAACAACAATTATTACAAATGGCCGATGATCAATTATATGAATTCAACGAAATTGATGATGTTAATTATGAAATATCGTATACAATATTCTATGAACTGATTGAATGTGTAAACTATTTGCATCAACAAAAACCGCCTATTATACATCGAGATCTAAAACCGGCAAACATATTGATAACCATTGAGCCCCGTTCCGGTAGATTTGTACGACTGGCCGATTTTGGTTTGTCTATAAAATACGAATCAAGTGACATAAGCCATACACAAAATGTAGGAACAGCCAGATATATGGCACCCGAAATAATGTTAAGCAGCCGCTATAATACTAGTGTAGATATCTATTCGCTTGGTGAAGTTTGTAGTATATTATTTGATAAAATAAAATTCAGGTTATTTAATTTTTTAACAATTCTATTTAATATACACACATTTAATAAACAACAATATAATAACTATTAATTTTATTTTTTTAGTAATTCAAAACTAACATCAAAATTTATAGCTATGCAAAATCTAATAGAATCTATGGTTAATACTATGGATTATAGACGGCCAAAATGTATGGATATATTATCAATAATTAACAAACTGGCCATTGAGGCACCGGTATCACAATCATTGCTTAACTGGCTATCGTTAGCCAATAGTCGCCAATTGTTTAATAATCCCAATGACATTAAACAATCTGGTTATATAATAAAATTTTTAAAAAATTTTATTATTTATAAATTTAATTCAAATATTATTGAATCAGTTGATAGCAATAGTGGTAATAATTCAATTATTGAAAAATTAAAATATAATAACCAAAATAAACAACTTAATTCACCTACTGTAGGATCTATAGAAAATAAATTAAGTAAATATATAATCATTTTAAAAAACTTAAATACTAATTAAATAATTTTAATATTACCACAGACAATTTTTATGAACAAAATTTTTCGAATAATTTATTAATTGGTATTGGTGGATTTAGCAAAGTTTATAAAGTTAAAAAAATATCTGACAACAAATTATATGCAATAAAAATTATTAAAGGTAAGTTATTAATAATAAGGTAAAAATAAATTATTTTTTAAAAAATATGTTATTATTAATTTATTACATTATTTATAAATAGGCATGGAAAATCAACAAGAACTTAGATTTTTAAAAAATATAGAATCAAATTTAATTGTTAAATACTATGATTCGTGGTATTTTGATAAAAATTTTTATATACAAATGGAGCTTTGCGATTTTACATTCAAATTATATATTAAAAATAGGAAAAATATATACAAATATTTACGCAAAAATATTCTACCATGTGATTTTGTTGATATTTGTGAATTTTTTATAACTTACAAATTGTTTTATGATATTTTAAAATGTTTGGATTTTTTGCACAATCATAATCCGCCGATTGTCCACAAAGATATTAAACCGGCTAATATTTTGATGACTTGCCAGTCACGTGATGGTATATTTGTTAAACTGTGCGATTTTGGACTATCCACTTATCTTGATGATTTTACATCCAACCAAGTTGGAACACTAGTATATATTTCACCTGAAATACTAAGTAACAATCAATACGATTGTTTGTCGGATATCTACAGTATGGGTATGACAATGAGTAGACTATTCGATGATAGTGAGTCTAAGTAATTATTAGTTTATTTAATTTATTTATTTAGTATTGATAGTTTAATAATAATATAAATGATATAAATAAAAAAAAAGATTATTTTAMATTAAAAATTTTATAACATTTATTGATGTTTTAATTGAAATTTTTACGCTATTTTATAGAAATTCAAGATTTGAGTTATCGYCAATAGTTAGACCTAAATTAATTAGTTTACATTTATTAATTAATAAAATGTTACAATATTCATATGAAATGAGACCAACCAGTCGACAAATATTACAGGAAATTAACGAAAATCTATCGATTCCTACACAGAATCTATTGGAACCGTTACAGTCATCGTTAGCATCATTGATAAAAATGAGACAATCGTTTGATGATAATAATGATGATAATTTGATTTTAGAATTTATTATATCGTTTATCAATCATTATCTAAATAATACATAATTATTATTATTACTAATAAAATTCAACTATTTTTAATTAATTAATTAATTATATATATATATATATATGTTTAAATTTGAGTAATATCGTGTACGATAAGCAAGGTAACTTAATTTACTGCTACATAATATTAGGTATTTATATAAAGTACCTTGGCTAAAGCATTACATAATATTACTCAAATTTGAACTTTTAAGTGACATAAACTGTATAAAAAACACATTTATATATTTTATATTATATAACAATTAGCTATATTAAGCGCTTAATGTAAAAACATATAAAATAAATATTCAGTATATTATTCCCAATTATATTAACTTGTTAATAATTATAATCATTTATTCAATAGATTTATTATTATTATTATATATTGAAATATGATTAATAATGACTTTATTTTTTTTAATAAACTTGATTTTTCTTAAAATATAATAATCATAAAAATAGTAGTACCGTATACCGCGATCTTATCGGACCAGGTCCTATAAAGTCAAACGTGTCCTTAAATGTCACGAAATAGGACCATGGTAACCGGTTGTTTTTTATAGTTACTAAATTTAGGACCACTATTGATGTATGGGTTATATTATATTTTATTTGTGTTGACATCTATATTTTGAGTCCCGGTAATAGTGTTGGCAAAAAAGAGAAATTTATAAAATAATAGAGAAATTTCTAGAAAGTTTCTAAAAAAAATTTCTATATATGGGATTCCCATTTTAATTTTGTAATCTCGATATTGCTATCATATAACAATACATTACCGTAAATATTATTATTAGTATTTTAACTATTAATTAAAGTAAAATATATATACAGTATATATATATATATTATATATCATACTGTAGTTTAATTAATATATATCATATATAATAAAATGATGAATACAATTTTACAAAATTAATTATTATTAAATAATTATAATTATTTTATATATAGATATCACATTTGTATAGTACTGTACTATACTTAGGGTTAGATTGAGATTCCCAGGGAGGGAAGTTCCCAAATAAAATCCCTCCAATTTTCCCGGAAAATATGGAAAATATATTATATTCCCTCCCTTGATCGTTAGAAAGGGAAAATATAATTTGTCATACATTATAAAGTACCTAATCTCAATGACTATGTGTTTCAATTGGGACCATTATGTTAGTAATAACTCAATCAAAATATGATTCAAATATTATTAAACATTTAGTAAAAACATTAAATACATTTTGTAGTCATTTACTATACAAACGTGTTTTTAATTAAACATTATGTAATGTGAGTTATGATACGATAGGTGGTACCACAAGGAAATGTCTTCCCAGGGAATTCCCAGGGAACAGGGAATATAAGGAACTTATGGAATATAAGACGAGGGAGGGAATCTGATCTAACCCTAACTATACTGTATAGTATAATAGTATATCTATAATAATAATATTACAATAACTATAGATATGGGGATCCCATAGTATAACAATAAAGTTAAATTTCTATAAATTTATACCTGAGAAATTTTCTAGAAACTTTCTATTTGCCCATCTCTACCCGGTAATTATTATTTATTTAATGATTATATGAATTGTTAACAAAATAGGACCGGGAGGTCCTATTTTGTCATACATTGGACAGGGGGTCCTATTTTGTCATCATATAGGACCATAGATACACGGTAATTATCCAAAATCTAATTTAGGACAGGTCCGATAAGATCGCGGTATACGGTAATAATAAAATATATGAATTAAACATTTAACACAATAGTTATAAATATAATCTTTATATATATATTTTTAAAGAATTTTTTTACAATACTGGATCATATTATTATAATATATAAATTTCTAGTAATGATAGATATATTTGATAATAAAAAAACACACTTATAATTACACACAACTGTCCACACAATTTACGTTCAATCAATCAATCAATGAAAATGATAGTCCGGTTAGAGTATTAAAAAAAAATATTAAAAACTAAATAAACAATTATAAAACAGATCTAACGTTTTTGTTGACCAAAAACTTATTATACGGTAATATAATTTACGGTAATTCACAAATCGGGTGAATATCTAATGTTTAACTTTTTCGGCCGTTTTTGGCGCATTTCAACTGCTGGACAGTTATTGTTTAGTTCAATGTTGGCGGGCATTGGTTGTGGTGGCGGTAGTGGTGGTCGTTGTAGTGGACTATCGGGTGGTGTGCGGCCACAGGTGACTGACGCGTAATACGGAACCAATGATAGGCCAGCCGATTGGTATACATCATCCACTTCTACTATGTCTTCATCTTCATCTTCATCATCATTAACATTGTCTCCAGTAGTTTCAGTCTCCAGACTATCGGCGGCAGCTGTTGTTTCGGTATCGTTGGTCACATCATCCGTGTTGTTGTTTGCGTTGTCTGGCAATTGACGGACAATACTAGTCGGCGGCTGATAACCTAATTGCAAACATTTTCGGTATCGACAACTCTGGCATCGTATAGGACCCAATCGGTGGTCAATGTGACAGTCGTGTCGATCGGTTAGACATTGGAAATGTTTGGCTTTTCGTAAATGTCTTTTCAAAAACAGATGACATGGATTACATATAACACATCCATTGATTAGTTTAACTTCTCTACTATTATAACAAACAGTACATAACTGTTGATTGTTGTCTTCATCGTCGTCGTCGTCATCGACAGGATTGTCGTCTTTACTCTCTATAATAGAAGTACCGGTAAGTGTCAGACAAACGACAGGTATATCCGATGGACAATCGGTAGTAGTTGTTGTGGTCAAACAGTCGGTGTTTGTTTGATTTTGTTGACCATCTTTGGTGACTCCGATGTCGTCGTCTTCCTCATCATTGTTGAAATTCTTCTTCTTCTTCTGTGTCGTCATCTTCTTCTTATTCGTCTTCTTCTTGTATTTCTTTTTGGTGATCAATAGCGAACTTTTTGGTGACTTTGACTTCAGTTTTGGTGACTTTGACTTCAGTTTTTTTGGCGTCAACTTTGGTTTCCATTTGATTTTGGCCACGGATTTTGTTTTAGCATTGTTTTTGGCCGCCGTCGCAGCCATTGAGTCGGCCAACTGATTGGTGTCCATAAGTTCATCGGCAGAGTCGATGCTAACCGATGGAGTGATTGACGTACAGGAGGTCTGACTTCTGGTGGCCAGCGATTTAACTGCTGATCGCATAATCTGACTAAACTTTGATGGCTTAGTCTTTAGATTCTTCTTTTTCTTGTTGTTGTTCTTAGTTTTCTTTGTTTTGCTGATCCTAGTGGTGGCCACCGATGACAATGACGACGACGGCGGCGACGACGACTCATTTGACGATGCCTTTGACTTTACATTTTTGATCGGCATTTTCAGCCGATTTATGGCAACTATGGGCTGTGTTTGCAATTGAAGATCTCGTAGATCAAAGTCTTGTCGACCAATCGTTGGAACTGTTTATGTGATCACAAGAAATAAGAAAATAAAAACAGAAAAAAACTATTATATTATGATCTAAAACGACAAACAACTGATCCGTCAGTGATATATGATATATACAGACAACTCGTACCACAACTTATGAGACGATCGAAGACTGAATTAATTTGTGAAAATTGCTTACATTTGTCGGCCTCGCTATCATCGGTGGCCAACACCGCCACTGTTGCCGACGACGCCTCGGCCATCGGCGGTGATAATAATCTAGACATCGGTTGATAATTTTTGTTAGCCTTAAGCGTGTCCGGCGACGTCGTAACGACCGACGGCCAGCTATCTTGTTGGTCATCATCGCCAGCAACAGTGCCATTGTTTTCGGTTGACGGCTCTGTCCAGTCATTGTTATCGTCGATGTCGTCGTCGTCGCCGCCGTTGAGTTTGTCCAACGCCTGACTGATCAACAACTTCTGGCCTATGGATAGCTGCTGTGGCAATCGGTGCCAATATCTGTCCATATTTAACGCCCGTAACGAGTGCACCGAATCGATGCCATTACTGACCAGACAGTCGATAGTGTCGGCAGTTATGCCGGCAAATTTGGACAGATATCGATGACAATAGGTTTGCTTGCGGGTCGTGGTCGGCGACGGCGTCGGTAGTGTTTTGTTGGCGGCGGCGGTGGTAGTGGTGGTCATTGATGCGGACGATGACGTGCGGGCGCTGGTCATCGGTATCGGCGATGATATCGGTAGCGATGATGATCTGTTCATATCTGTTCAATACAATCATGTGGTAACTCTCACTGTTATACCCGATATGTTGGCCACCAAATGATGATCGGTAATAACACACAATCAATAAAATATTATATATTTTTTTAGTTATAATAATAATAATAATAAAAGTAATAATTAAATAAAAATAAGTACAATGTGTTAGTCACGTGACTATATAATTGTCAAAATAAAAGTTATAATTATTATTATTATTATAATTATTTTAAAACTTATTTTTACTTTATTTTATTTATAGAGATTATATTGTAGATCAACAAACAAAAACTTATTGATATATTAGTTATAATTATAATAATATAGGAAACAAATTTTTGTCAATTATTTTTATAATACTAAAAAAAAGTTTTATTTATGTAAATATAAAACAAAAATGTAAAATAGTTGACAACAAAAACATACTGTTTTTGTATATGTTTTCAAACATGATTTTTACTAATAATAAATAAATATATAAACACTAAGCTATAACACATTTTATCAATTAGCAACTCTCTCTCTCTCTCTCTCTCTCTCTCTCTCTCTCTCTCTCTCTCTCTCTCTCTCTCTCTCTCTCTCTCTCTCTCTCTCTCTCTCTCTCTCTCTCTCTCTCTCTYTCTCTCTCTCTCTCTCTCTCAACTCTCTCTCTCTCTCTCTCTCTCTCTCTCTCTCTCTCTCTCTCTTTCAACTCTCTCTCTCAACTCTCTCTCTCTCTCTCTCTCTCTCTCTCTCTCTCTCTCTCTCAACTCTCTCTCTCAACTCTCTCTCTCAACTCTCTCTCTCTCTCTCTCTCTCTCTCTCTCTCTCTCTCTCTCTCTCTCTCTCTCTCTCTCTCTCTCTCTCTCTCTCTCTCTCTCTCTCTTTCAACTCTCTCTCTCTCTCTCTCTCAACTCTCTCTCTCAACTCTCTCTCTCTCTCTCTCTCTCTCTCTCTCTCTCTCTCTCTCTCTCTCTCTCTATCAACTCTCTCTCTCTCTCTCTCTCTCTCTCTCTCTCTCTCTCTCTCTCTCTCTCTCTCTCTCTCTCTCTCTCTCTCTCTCTCTCTCTTTCAACTCTCTCTCTCAACTCTCTCTCTCAACTCTCTCTCTCAACTCTCTCTCTCTCTCTCTCAACTCTCTTTCTCTCTCTCTCTCTCTCTTTACTCTCTTTTTTTTTGTATGTATTGTACAGTAAATAATGTGTTTATGAGACTAACTGTATAATGAATAACACTATACATTAAAATTTTAAAATAATATATATTATTTAAAAAATATTGATTGACTTTTTCATCAATTAATAATTGTCATGTATTTTTTATTGATATTATTATTATTATTATTATTATTATTATTATCAAACATATATGGGTACATACAGTAGATAACATATAGCTATTATTTAAAAAAATTATATTTTCTATATATTATATTATTATAAAACTTATAAATTATTAGTATCCCTACAAAAAAAATAACTATATTATCAAAAACAGTTAATATTAAAATTTAAAAAAAATAAAATAAAATTGTGCTAATAGTTATTGTGAAAATAAAATATTATAAGATTCAAAAAATAACTAAAAAAATTCAAAAAACATTTCAAACATTCAAAATACGGATTTTTAGTTTAGTATCAAAAAAAAAATCATAAAAACTTAATAATAATTATGATTTCTGGGTGTAATTTTCTGACCAATAAATGGTGTATTTTTAAGGAACGTTATCACCAATAGTGCCGGACTGTCGATGTTTTCGATTTTCGATATCATATAATACCGGAGCAATCGAAACTAAAAAAAAAGTGTATTTAGTATTAAATAAAACAAACAAATAAATATATATTATATTTTTTTCTGATAAGCAGTGGTCCACATATTACGTTAGCATTTGAGGGGAGTGGGGGTTGGGGGTTGGCCAAAGCGAACTTTTGCAAAGAGGGGGATGGAGGAAGGGGTAGAAATTTTAAGAACGTTCGCATTTGAATAATAATTTTTGTTTCTTAGTGGTGGCGGGGGTGGGGGGAGGGGTAGTAGCGGTTAGTGGCATGCGAACGTAATTTTCTTAAATTTTTTACACGCAAACAATTGTGAACATAGGAGAGGGAGGGAGGAGTCAAGATTTGTTTAAAAATGTGCGAACGTAATATGTGAATGGCCCCCTCAAAACTTTTTATTATTATTAATATTAAGATTTTTATTTTTTTTAATTAAATAACTAACCGATTGATAGATTTGCGGCGAAACTGTATGCGTAAACTGAGACATCCAGTCATAGAAGTGTACGGGTACTGAACGCGACTCGTAGTTTACCCGAACCATACTCAGGCCGGTCACGGCTATCAGTCCCAGTCGTATACCCTGGACTAGTAGGTCAGCACTGAGTACTCGGACCAGACCTTTGCTAAACTCCAATTGAGCACCTGGATCCTCTATTCAAAAAAAAAAATATTAAGATATTATTACCAACCAACAACAACAAAATACACCCCAACCCTTACCCAACCATAGCCAATACATACACAACCCATACCATACCCTACCCTACCCTACCCAATCCATAGCCAACACATACATAATCCATACCAAACTCCTACCCAATCCATAGCCAACACATACATAACCCATACCAAACTCCTACCCAATCCATAGCCAACACATACATAACCCATACCAAACTCCTACCCAATCCATAGCCAACACATAGATAACCCCTACACTATCCATAGCCAGACCCATACCAAACCCATACCGAATCCATAGCCAACACATAAACAATGCCTACAAAACCCATATCCACACCTACCCAACCTCTACTCAACCTCTACCCAACCCCTAACCAACCCATACCCCACACTCATAACTGTGTACAGTTTTTTTTAAATGAATAGTTACCTATTTTGTTTAATTTATATACAAACAAATACAGCGTAAACATTGTATAACCAAAATCAATGGTCATCTCCAACATTAGTAACGAAAAAAATAATGACATCAACTGATTGAACGTATAGTTCATACGTTTGATTAGCGTAGCACTGGTTTTGAATAGAAATTTTATTTGTTTCATATGAAACTGTTCCGGACGTTCCGATATACGGGTCAAATGGTTCAGATAGTCATTGATTTGTCGGTATTTTAGTTGAATTCCCTATTATTAACCAAACAAAAAAAATTTAAATTAAAAAATTTATAAATTATTAGTTAGGGGGTGGTTCACATATTACGTTCGCACTTGAGGGGAGGGTGGGGTCGGTCAAAGCGAACGAAAATGGGGAGGGGTAGTGATCTTAAGAAAAAAGTGATCTTATTTTTTAGTAGTTGTGGTGGGGTTAGGTTATGTTAGGTTAGGATAGGTTAGGTTAGGTCAAGTTATGTGAACGTAATGTATTTTATAATAACTAAATGCGATAACAATTGCGCAAACATAAGGGGAGGAGGGGGTCTTAATCTTTTTAAAATGTGTAAACGTAATATGCAAACAATCTCATATATATATATTATGGTTATATTGTATTATATTTACTCTCCCATTGGGAAAGATCAAAGTCATGGGTCAAAATGCTAGTTTTCTTATATATGAGAAATATATTTTTTTACTTTTGATAATAATTTACCAGGGGTGGGGTAAAAATGCGAGTTTTTTACCATATGAAAATGCTAGTTTTCATATATTTTTGTTGTTGTTGTTGAATTCCATATATTAGAAATAAAACACAAAATTTTACGGTAGTTTTTCCTTTACTTTTATATATATATATATATATATATATATATATATATATATAAATATATGGTTTTAATATAGACATACCATTGTAAATACAATATAGACGGGCATCAGAAACCAGCTGACACATCCATGGGCCAGATCGTACAGATAGCTCTGGGTGGTTAGCCAGGTAACACCCTTATCGATTTTCCATTGCAATGTAGAAAACGATATACAATGACATACAATTACCAGTAGTACCAGTACTGATACTTTCATGATAACCGTAGCCGGCGGTACCGATTGGCTAAAGTGTGTAATGACAACTGTGTCCAATTTGATGACCACTTGCCGCACGACATAACCTTTCAACCAAAACATATCGATGGCTACAACAATGGGTAGCCAATCAATCATATCGATTACTACATCAATATAGTAGATATGTAGTTCCCCGATGAACAACAATCTGATTAATACATCGAAAATTTTGTACAGTATCCAACTGTTCAGGGCTACCGTTCCCAACAATAGTATGATATTGAGCGGTAATAGTGGATGCATTTTAAACAGATATCTAAGCCACAGGGCTGTCGTGTTGACCGGAAATCGGGACCCGGTGTCGTAGACAGTACTGAGTACGGGTGCACCGAAAAATACGAACGGCACGAGTACTGTACCGATAGTATTGCGCCAGAATGTACGCCTCTGTACTTTCAGACCCGTGGCACCGGTAGCCGCCGATGCTGTATACCATTGGTCAGTCATATCGATTATAATGTTGGGTTCGGGCGGTGTCGATGCCATCGCCGCCACCGCCGCCGACGGCGAATAGTTGATGACCGCTGCCGTTGTTGTAGGACTACTTCCACCACCACTACTACTATTACTCGGTATGTCTACTACGGCTACCCCACCGACCGGTTTGGTTATTGAATAGCTATCCATAGGGTTAGTATCATATATAGTATAGTTAGACTTGCGATGCATTTTTTATTTATTTATTAATCACATTATACTTTTAATTATATCACAAAATTATTTTTAATATATATATATATTATTGTATATATATATTATAATTACAATGAGTTTTTTTGTTGTTGTAAATAATATCAAAAAAAAACTATTATTATTATTGTTTAGTATATACTGTATATATATGATACAAATAAGTTATAATAAAACAAAAAAATTATTTATTTTAACTTTATCATTTAGTTGTTCAATATTGTTTTTAAAAAAATAAAACGTAAAAAATAATATTAATTATATAAAATAATAATAATAATATACATTATATATTAATGTTTTAACATTTTTTTAAACTTTGATGCTTGATATATTTATTTAATATACTGTATTAATTAAACATGTTTAAATTGTGTGTGTGATTAAAGACACATTGTAATATAACTGATTAAATTGTAATAATAATAATAATAATAATAATAATAATAATAATAATAATAATATATTACATTATTATCAGTTAGTTAGGAAAAATGGCAATGAATTTTTATTTGTATTATAGAAAAACAATTATATGGAAAATAAATTGAACAATATACTATTATAAATTTTATGCCAAATATAATTGTAAAAAAAATAAATTTTAAAAAGTTACATATATATGTAGAAAATATATTATATACACATTTTATCTAATCAAATACGATAAATATATTGTTATATACTGTATATATATATAGATATTAAATTCAATTGTTATCTACATTGCAATAAACTCTGTATATAACAATAATTGTTTGATTGCATTACGATTACGTAAAATATTAATGTAATTGTAATTACTATACTTAATTTAGTAAATAATATATAATATATATATACAAATATCACATGTATATCAAATTAATTAAACAATTAATATATTTATTTTTTAAATAATATAGTTTACTTATGTAATGAATTACTTACACATAATTATATATTATATATAAAAATTATTATTTTATTTTATTTTTATTATGAATTTTTGTTTTTAATTAAAAAACATTGTTTTTTTTATCTTTTATGTAATAGTTTAACAAACTGAGTAAATAAAAATTTTTAATTAATACTTATAATGTTATTTATTTTAGTAATATTTTAGTTGTTATAACTATAAATGTAATATTTTTCTTTTAATGCAATATTATCAAAATGATTATATTATATTCAGTTTATATTAATTATATTTAATTTATTTAAAAAATATATTAATATATAATCTATTTATATATATATATAAACATTAAATTAATTAATATTAGTTTATAGATAAGTTTAAAAATTTTAATCTAAAAAATTTAATGCAATTTATGTAGTGATATACTATAAAATAAATATTTATAAAACTATTTAATTTATTCAAAAAAAAACTTTAAAATTATTGTTAACTTAATTTGTAAATTAAAAAATATATATATATATAATTTATTTAAAAAATTAATAATTTTTACTAATTGTTAATAATTTTAGATCTTTTTAATAAACTATGAATTAATAGACTAAAACACTTAATATTTTTTTATATTCAAGTATTTTTTTTAAAGGTAAAAATATTATCAATGATATCCATAGTTTTTTTTATTGATAACATATAATCACTTTATAACATTAAAAATAACATATTTTTGTTTTATTATTATTTTTGTTGTTTCATAAATTAGTAAAATTATTCTCATTTTTCATTATATATATATAAATAAATAGACATATTTAACAAATAATTTTTAAACTAATATTTATTATTATTTGTTTAAAAATAACTAAATATAATAATAATGTTTAAATTAAAATCATTAATTACCGATAAATTGTTTACAACAGCCGACAACAACATAGCGCTGATGACACCTAAATCGCAATTGAAATCGCTTTGTACGGCAAATAATTATGAGAAGCCATCGTATAGTGTAGTAGACAAGCGTGAGGAGGACGGCGGCGGCGGCTATCGTAAAGTCTATAAAGTACGGGTCAGTGTCGACGGTTTTGTCGACCTGTACGGCGAAGGTATGTCCCGTCGATTGGCCGAACAACGTGCGGCCGAAAATGCACTGAAAGAGATCGACGAAGTACGGGAAGTGCAGCGTAAGGCCAGGGAACGTATGGACAGCCAGTTGTTGAAATCGACCGATAAAAGTGCCGAAAAAAGCGCCGGCGGTTCCGATACTACTGTCAGTGGTAGTAGTTGTAATGGTAGTACAGCTGATCCGTCAAATGGTGATCAAAAAGAGGTTGTCGTCGAAGTTCATAACAATGAAGTGGTAGTCAATAATATTGTAGCAGTTGTTGATAATAATGGTATTAAGTCTAGTGACAGCAAAATGAAAGCCAATACTGATGATACCGGTGCTGGTGCTGCTATTACTAGTAATACTACTTGTGCTGGTGCTGGTCCTGGTGCTGCTACTACTACTAATACTACTGGTGCTACTACTACTACTGGTGCTGGTACTGGTGCTACTACTAATACTAAAACTACTAGTGCCGGTGCTGGTGCTGCTACTACTACTAATACTACTGGTGCTGGTACTGGTGCTGGTGCTGGTACTGGTGCTACTACTACTACTACTACTACTAATACTAAAACTACTAGTGCTGGTGCTGGTACTGGTGCTACTACTAATACTAAAACTACTAGTGCCGGTGCTGGTGCTGCTACTACTACTAATACTACTGGTGCTGGTACTGGTGCTGATGCTGGTGCTGGTACTGGTGCTACTACTACTACTACTACTACTAATACTAAAACTACTAGTGCTGGTGCTGGTACTGGTGCTACTACTACTACAACTACTACTAAAACTAATACAACTACTACTGCTGCGGAAAATGAAACCAAAGTTGAAAATAAAGATAAATCAACTGAAAGATCAAATAGTAAGACACGTAACAGTGTTTCGTCAATCAGTAGTTATGACAGTGTTGATGAAAATATGGATAATAGTAACAATGATACTACCGGTGCCACTAATAATAATAATGATAATAATCATAATAATGATGACAGTGGTATTGTGGTCAACAATAATGATAATAATAAGAATAGTGATGGGGATTATTAGTATTAGTATTATTATTATTATTAAATGTTTTTGTTTTTTATATATTACACATTTTTAAAAAAAAATTTGTTTGCATTTAAATTTAAGTATTTTTTTAATAAATAAAAAAATAATAGTAAAATGAAACTTAATATTATTATACTTAATAAAATATTTTTTGATTTTATGTAATTAACTATTAAATGTTTTGTTATTTATTTATTTTTAATAATATACTTTTTTTAAAAAAAAATATTGCATCAATTTTAGCAAAAATTATTTTCAAAAATTTAGCAATCTAGTTTTTTTTAATAATAATAAAAGTTATTATTTAAATTTAGTTATTTAAAAATAAAAAATAAAATCATGTTAATTAATGTATATATAAAATAAGATATACTTATAATTATCAATAAATAACATTTAAATATATATATATATTAATAGATTATAATTTACTTATTAAGCAACTTGTTATCAAAAAAAGAAATATTAATATTTTTTGTTTATAATAATAATTTAAAAAAATAAACATTAAACACATTATTTTGTCTAAAATAAACAATTTTTTTGATTTTTTTTGTTGTTTTTAATTAGTTCTTGAAATTGTTTATCATTTAGTTATCTGATAAAAAACAAACAAAAATTATTATATTATAATCTATTAAAAACATTAGTCACGTAATTAAATTTAAAAAAAAAAATTTCAATTTTAATAGCTATAACTTTTAATATAATATAGTGTAATATATAATAAATATATTTTTTATTTAAAAAAATGTAAATAATTTTGCGATAGTTTTTCTAAGTCTTTTAAAAATTATTAATTACTTTATTTTGTTAATTAATTATGAATTTTTATTTTTCTCATAATTAATTTTTTTTAATATTTTTTTTATTTGTTAAAATAATTTTGTGTTATTACACAATATGAATACACAGTTTAATAAATATATTAAGTTATCTAAAAAAAACTAATAATTAGGTTAATTGTTTTATATATATGATAAAACTAATATTAATAATAATAATAATAATTATTTATTGTTTACTATATGTCTCTATTTATTTTTTGTTGTTATTTGCTATCAGAAAATAATAATATATATATAAAATAAATAAAATATATTTTAATAGCAAAAATAAATACAAAAACTTTTATTTTGTGAGAAACTTTTTGTAAGATATATAGCAATAGTTTTTTTTTATAATAAACATATGCATAGGTTATAAAGTACTGTATAATTATTGTATTATTTATGATATTTTTTTAATATATTTTTGGTGGTAATATAAATATTAAAATTAGGTTATTATAATATGGTATAGCATATAAAAAAACAAATTTAATACTGTATTTTTATAACTTATCATAAAATATATCATAAAATATATATATATATATATATAAACCTGACTATAGATTTTGGTTTTGAAATAAATTTAAAAATAAAATTATTTTATTTCTAAGTCAAAATCATATATCACTTATTTTATTTTGAAAATGGGATGTCATGTAGTTTTAAATGCCATCAAAATGTTATATTAAATGATTTCAAATATATATATATATATAAATACTTATATTTATTATACATATTAAATATTTTATGTGTGAGTCTATTGAATATTCATATCATGTATTATAACTAATACATTGAATAGTTTTTGGTTTAGTAGTAGTAAAAAAGCATAGATTATATATATATATACATATAATTTATATATATAGATATATACAGTATTTTTAGAGGGGTGTCATTGCATATAATACCTGTGCGCGCTAGATATGGGGCACTGGTATGCAGTCAGGTTTTTAATATCACTGTATAAAATCAGTGGTTATTATATAACTTAAATTTATATATATATATATATATATATAAAAGTTATTTAAAAATTTTTTCACAACAACTGTTGATTTTGTATGTATGAGTGAGTGTTAGGTTAGGTAACAGCAAACTATTAAAATGTTCAACAAAGTGATAAAAATTTAAATAATTTTATTATTTTTTTTTGTTGTATATAATATATATATATATATATATAGATATTTTTATTCATTTTATTGCTGATTATGTATATATTAAAAAAAACTTATGTTAAATCATATACAGTATAACTAAATATATATGATATTTATTTTGTTAATATAAAAATCACAAAATATCATATATATATATATATATATGATTATGTATATGATTATATACATGTATATACAGTACTAAAGTATATGGTTATTATATATATATGCTGTAATATTAGTGTTTTATTACGTCAATTCATACATATACTGTATTTTTAAAAAAATATATATATATATTAATAGCAAATACAGTTAAATTTCATAAATATTATGTGTTAATAATAATAATAATAATAATAAATATTAAATACTACTTATATTATATAACAAATAATATTTTTAAATAAAAAAAATTGCTAATAATTTTGCAATATTTGATAGTAAACATATTTTCTCAACTATTTAAATATATTATTATTATTTTGAGAAAAATATTGTTTGTTTTATAAGTGTAGAAATTTTTTGTTGAAAAATTGTTTAAATCTTTTAAAAAAAACAAATAAAATAAATAAATGTTAATAAAATAAAACTTCAAATATTATTACTGACAATAATTAGTGATTGTGTTCAACCATTTTATTTTTAATATAATTTATTGTGAATATTTACCATAACTTTATGATAATATATATATTTTTAATTATGTTTCAAAAATTTACAATTCAATCATTATTATTATAATAATTATGATTTTGTTTGTTTGTTTGATATTTTTAAAACACATAAATTAACAAAAATATTTTTTTTTGACTGTAATAATATATACTGTATTTTTCAACAATAAGTAATAATAATAATAATAATAATAATAATATGATAATTTTGTGGCCACAATAATAATAATGATAATAATAATAATACTGTAATTGATATAACTAAAAATATATATATATGTATATAAATATATATGTGATTTTTGTTAAATATTTACATTGGTGCCATTAGTCTATGGAGGGGATAAAATAAATTTATTATTATTATTATTATTATTTCAAATATACTCAATAAGTTAGATAACTAAAACAGTGATATTACTGTACAATATTATTATTATTACAATAAAACCTATTGTGTGTGTGTGTTTTATTTGCTATTTATATATATGTACAGTATATGTGATATCTAATCATAAGACTAATAAAGTTATATATTTTGTTTGAAAAAAAAATTAATTTTGACGACAAATCTTAGTGATAAAAATATATTATTATTATTATTATTATATAAATGCCATTTTTAGTTTAATACTGATTGTGTGTTTTAAATAAAACTGTACTTAATATTGAACTATTATAATATTGAACATATAAAATAATTAATAATAAAAATAATAATTTTAAAGTTTATTAACTAAATGTTTCCTAAAAAAAAAATATTTCCAATATTTAATTGATTATTATTTCGTATCATTTATTTGAATATTCAATATGTAATACAAGTAATAATAATAATAATAATAATAATAATAACTATAATATATAGTTTCAAATATACATAAGTGTCTCTTTTAAATTGTTTTATACGGTATTTACTTAAAAAGTTATTTTTTTTAAATAACTAAACAAATATGTTATTATTATATTACAGATTAGTAATATAATATTGTTTTTCAATATAATGTGTGTTTTTTATTAGGAAAAAAACATTTATTAATAGAGTAATTGTAATAATAATACTTAATAATAATAATAATAATAATAATTGAAAAAAATATCAACATTTTTTGATTTGAAATAACATTTTGTAATAAAATAAAAAAAAATTTTTTTTTAAAACGGAACATATTTACTATAATTATTGGAAATATTATTTAATAATTTTTTTTAAAAATAAAAATTTGATTTACTATTCAATAATAATAAAAAAATTAATAAATAATTAAAAACATGGATTTAAGAGAAAAAATCCAGACATTAAAGTCCTATTGTGCGGCCAATGGTCACGAAAAACCGTCGTATAAACTGTTGGACAAACTTGAGGTCGACGGCGGCCATCGAAAAGTCTATGTCGTCAGGGTTACGGTGCCCGGACTGGTCGACATTCGTGGTGACGGTATGTCCAGACGATTGGCCGAACAACGAGCCGCCGACCGTGCGTTGCGTGCCATCGATGACGAAATATTACGCAATATTAAGGTCAAGTACGGTGACGACAGACCTACCACTTCTAGGGCTACTACTTCTAAAACTACTACTACTACTACTACTGATGATAACAGTGCCAACACCAGCAGCAAACAAGTCAATGGTGGCACCCATACAGCCAATGGTGTGATTGAGACTGACATTGATAGTGATATTCAAGATAAAAGTGCTGATCATATGATGGCATCCGATGATAATCATATCAATAATGGTAAACAACAAAAACAATATATTAGTGATAGTAATAATGATAATAATAGTGATCTTATAGTTAGTAGTAGTAATAATAATAATAGAGGCAATGATAATCAAAAAAGTTATGATAATTTAGTTAATAATAATAGTAATACCAGTCCTAGTAATGGACCAGTTGTTGACCAATCAACAACCAACAGTGCCAATGAACCTATGATGACTAGTGCTGATGACTATGAAAATCGTAGAAATGGTATCATCGATAGCAACTCCCCCCGGAGCTCGTCATCATCGATATCATCGTCATCATCATCATCATCATCATCATCAACGGTGAATAGCAACCATAACATTGATGGTGGTTACGACACTAGCCTAACGCAAAACGGTATCTCCTCTCGTGTTATACTAGCACTACCACCACCACCACTACCGTCATCACCACCACCTGAAACAAAACCACGGTTTACGAAACTAACCATCAAAACATCTATACAACTATTGATGGACTATTGTATGGCAAATCAGGCACCGTTTCCCTATTACGACACTAGCTATAAAAGCGGCCAATTTCGTAACAATTGTCGCATTGA